TGTTTGAGTCCACAGTGATTTCTGGATGTAGGTGAACTACAACTCCAAAACCAAAGGACACTGCCCACCAAACCCTTCCAGTATTTTCTGTTGGTCATGGGAGTTCTGTGTGCCAAGTTTGGTTCAATTCCATCGTTGGTGGGGTTCAGAATGCTCTTGATTGTAGGTGAACTATAAATCCCAGCAACTACAACTCCCAAATGACAAAATCATTTTTTTTTTTGAGTGAAGGACATACATTGGGTTGTTAGGTGTCTTGTGTCCAAATTTGGTGTCAATTCGTCCAGTGGTTTTTGAGTTCTGTTAATCCCACAAACGAACATTACATTTTTATTTATGTAGATGTCCTGGAATATATGTTGTGCTCTGCTCTGAGTCCCCTGTGGGGTGAGAAGGGCTGAATATACCGTATATACTCAAGTATAAGCCGACCCGAATATAAGCCGAGGCCACAAGAAACTGAGAAAACGGATTGACTCGAGTATAAGCCGCTACAGGTAAATTGCAAAATAAAAATAGATACCAATTAAATTACATTAATTGAGGAACAAGTAGGTTATATATTTTTGAATATTTACAAAAATGGTAATTTAAGATAAGACTGTCCATCTCTGATTAAATTATTATTTACCTTCTTCAATGTAAATGTGCTTACGTATCCTTCTAATAATAATACATAATAAATGTAATAACAGCAATAATAAAAAGAGTAAAATAATGAATGTAGCAATCACAACAATTATGCAGTAAAATAATAAATGTGTAATAATAGAGTATAATGATAAATGTAATAATAATAAATAGAATAAAATAATAAATGAAATGATAACAACAACAACAATAATAAAAAGAGTAAAATAATTAATGTAGCAATCACAACAATTATGCAGTAAAATAATAAATGTGTAATAATAGAGTATAATGATAAATGTAATAATAATAAATAGAATAAAATAATAAATGAAATGATAACAACAACAACAATAATAAAAAGAGTAAAATAATTAATGTAGCAATCACAACAATTATGCAGTAAAATAATAAATGTGTAATAATAGAGTATAATGATAAATGTAATAATAATAAATAGAATAAAATAATAAATGAAATGATAATAATAATAATAACAATAACAACAACAATAATAAAAAGAGTAAAATAATGAATGTAGCAATCACAACAATTATGCAGTAAAATAATAAATGTGTAATAATAGAGTATAATGATAAATGTAATAATAATAAATAGAATAAAATAATAAATGATAATAATAATAATAACAACAACAACAATAATAAAAAGAGTAAAATAATGAATGTAGCAATCACAACAATTATGCAGTAAAATAATAAATGTGTAATAATAGAGTATAATGATAAATGTAATAATAATAAATAGAATAAAATAATAAATGAAATGATAATAATAATAACAACAACAACAACAATAATAAAAAGAGTAAAATAATGAATGTAGCAATCACAACAATTATGCAGTAAAATAATAAATGTGTAATAATAGAGTATAATGATAAATGTAATAATAATAAATAGAATAAAATAATAAATGAAATGATAATAATAATAACAACAACAACAACAATAATAAAAAGAGTAAAATAATGAATGTAGCAATCACAACAATTATGCAGTAAAATAATAAATGTGTAATAATAGAGTATAATGATAAATGTAATAATAATAAATAGAATAAAATAATAAATGAAATGATAATAATAATAACAATAACAACAACAATAAAAAGAGTAAAATAATGAATGTAGCAATCACAACAATTATGCAGTAAAATAATAAATGTGTAATAATAGAGTATAATGATAAATGTAATAATAATAAATAGAATAAAATAATAAATGAAATGATAATAATAATAATAATAACAATAACAACAATAATAAAAAGAGTAAAATAATGAATGTAGCAATCACAACAATTATGCAGTAAAATAATAAATGTGTAATAATAGAGTATAATGATAAATGTAATAATAATAAATAGAATAAAATAATAAATGAATAATAATAATAACAACAACAACAATAATAAAAAGAGTAAAATAATGAATGTAGCAATCACAACAATTATGCAGTAAAATAATAAATGTGTAATAATAGAGTATAATGATAAATGTAATAATAATAAATAGAATAAAATAATAAATGAAATGATAATAATAATAACAACAACAACAACAATAATAAAAAGAGTAAAATAATGAATGTAGCAATCACAACAATTATGCAGTAAAATAATAAATGTGTAATAATAGAGTATAATGATAAATGTAATAATAATAAATAGAATAAAATAATAAATGAAATGATAATAATAATAACAATAACAACAACAATAAAAAGAGTAAAATAATGAATGTAGCAATCACAACAATTATGCAGTAAAATAATAAATGTGTAATAATAGAGTATAATGATAAATGTAATAATAATAAATAGAATAAAATAATAAATGAAATGATAATAATAATAATAATAACAATAACAACAATAATAAAAAGAGTAAAATAATGAATGTAGCAATCACAACAATTATGCAGTAAAATACTAAATGTGTAATAATAGAGTATAATGATAAATGTAATAATAATAAATAGAATAAAATAATAAATGATAATAATAATAATAACAACAACAACAATAATAAAAAGAGTAAAATAATGAATGTAGCAATCACAACAATTATGCAGTAAAATAATAAATGTGTAATAATAGAGTATAATGATAAATGTAATAATAATAAATAGAATAAAATAATAAATGAAATGATAATAATAATAACAACAACAACAACAATAATAAAAAGAGTAAAATAATGAATGTAGCAATCACAACAATTATGCAGTAAAATAATAAATGTGTAATAATAGAGTATAATGATAAATGTAATAATAATAAATAGAATAAAATAATAAATGAAATGATAATAATAATAACAATAACAACAACAATAAAAAGAGTAAAATAATGAATGTAGCAATCACAACAATTATGCAGTAAAATAATAAATGTGTAATAATAGAGTATAATGATAAATGTAATAATAATAAATAGAATAAAATAATAAATGAAATGATAATAATATTAATAATAACAAAATAACAACAATAATAAAAAGAGTAAAATAATGAATGTAGCAATCACAACAATTATGCAGTAAAATAATAAATGTGTAATAATAGAGTATAATGATAAATGTAATAATAATAAATAGAATAAAATAATAAATGATAATAATAATAATAACAACAACAACAATAATAAAAAGAGTAAAATAATGAATGTAGCAATCACAACAATTATGCAGTAAAATAATAAATGTGTAATAATAGAGTATAATGATAAATGTAATAATAATAAATAGAATAAAATAATAAATGATAATAATAATAATAACAACAACAACAATAATAAAAAGAGTAAAATAATGAATGTAGCAATCACAACAATTATGCAGTAAAATAATAAATGTGTAATAATAGAGTATAATGATAAATGTAATAATAATAAATAGAATAAAATAATAAATGAAATGATAATAATAACAATAACAACAACAATAAAAAGAGTAAAATAATGAATGTAGCAATCACAACAATTATGCAGTAAAATAATAAATGTGTAATAATAGAGTATAATGATAAATGTAATAATAATAAATAGAATAAAATAATAAATGAAATGATAATAATATTAATAATAACAATAACAACAACAATAAAAAGAGTAAAATAATGAATGTAGCAATCACAACAATTATGCAGTAAAATAATAAATGTGTAATAATAGAGTATAATGATAAATGTAATAATAATAAATAGAATAAAATAATAAATGATAATAATAATAACAACAACAACAACAATAATAAAAAGAGTAAAATAATGAATGTAGCAATCACAACAATTATGCAGTAAAATAATAAATGTGTAATAATAGAGTATAATGATAAATGTAATAATAATAAATAGAATAAAATAATAAATGATAATAATAATAATAACAACAACAACAACAATAATAAAAAGAGTAAAATAATGAATGTAGCAATCACAACAATTATGCAGTAAAATAATAAATGTGTAATAATAGAGTATAATGATAAATGTAATAATAATAAATAGAATAAAATAATAAATGAAATGATAATAATAATAATAATAACAACAACAATAAAAAGAGTAAAATAATGAATGTAGCAATCACAACAATTATGCAGTAAAATACTAAATGTGTAATAATAGAGTAAAATGATAAATGTAATAATAATAAATAGAATAAAATAATAAATGAAATGATAATAATAACAACAACAACAACAATAATAAAAAGAGTAAAATAATTAATGTAGCAATCACAACAATTATGCAGTAAAATAATAAATGTGTAATAATAGAGTATAATGATAAATGTAATAATAATAAATAGAATAAAATAATAAATGAAATGAAAATAATAATAATAACAGAGTAAAATAATAAATAACCCTGACTCGAGTATAGCCGAGGGGGACTTTTTCAGCCTAAAAAAAGGGCTGAAAAACTAGGCTGTATACTAGAGGATATACAGTAAATGTTTAAATAAACAAACAAACAAACACATAAATAAATAGATGTGGGCAGAACATCAGGAGAGAATGCTTCTGGAGCATGGCCAGATACCCCGGAAAACTCACAGCAATCTAAATGAGAGGACCCTTGACCCATCTGCCCGTTCAGGACTACAACTCCTATGTATTTGTTTCATGTTTCCTGTAGCTGATGGGACTTGACAAAGTCAGTGTCAAATGCAATAAAACATCACATGAAGACTAAGGTGATTTATTTCTATTTTATTTTGTCTCAATTTTCTTTCAAAGTTTTCTTTTTTTCCTGTTGCCTCAAATCAGGGACAAGGATTGCGTGGATTTTCCAGGTTGGGAGGAAAATAAAAAATATTCCATAGCGCTTGGCAGGGTTTGTATGGCGAGCCATCCTGGGAACCCCTTTGAATGCAGCCAGTGGAGAAGTTGGTGGAAAGAGAAACCTTGATTTGCACCAAGATTTGCCGTTCCTGGAAAAAATTAAAAGAGAAGATGCTTATTTGAGGAGCACAATATACATATTTGATGGTAAGATTGCAAAATTGTTTACAGCCATTTAAGGTCACTCTGCTAATGATTTCAGTATCTATCTATATAAAAATGCTCATGTCATAATGAGTACCTTAAAAACAAAAGAACCAATGAACAAAATCACACCAAATTTGGCAACAAAACATCTCACTATGCAAGGAGTGACCATCACTCAAAAAATATGATTTTGTCATTTTGGGAGTTATAGTTGCTGGGATTTATAGTTCACCTAAAATCAAAGAGCATGCTGAACTCCACCAACAATGGAATTGAACCAAACTTGGCACACAGAACTCCCATGACCAACAAAAATACTGGAAGGGTTTGGTGGGCATTGACCTTGAATTTTGGAATTGTAGTTCACCTCCATCCAGAGAACACTGTGGACTCAAACAATGATGGATCTGGACCAAACTTGACAGGAATACTCAATATGCCCAAATGTGAACACAGATGGAGTTTGGGGGAAATAGACCTTGACATTTGGGAGTTGTAGTTACTAGGATGTATAGTTCACCTACAATCAAAGAGCATTCCGAACCCCACCAGTGATGGAATTGGGCCAAACATCCCACACAGAACCCCCATGACCAACAGAAAACTGTGTTTTCTGGTGGTCTTTGGTGACCCTTCTGGCACCCCCCCCCCCAGTGACCCCCCCAGGGGTCTTGACTTCCCAGGTTGAGAAATGCTGCCTTAAGGCCATCCAGTCCAACTCCCTTCACCAGGGCAAGAAAACATAATCAAAGCCCTCCTGACAAAGGACCAGGCATGTAGCCGGGGGGGGGGGTGGTTTGGGGGGCTTCAGCCCCCCCCCCCCGAAATTCTCATGCTGGTTCGCAAAAAGGCCTTACTGGTGCATTATTTAAACTGTTATGTTTATTCATATCATGATCTGATCACCATGCTCAATATATCCCATATGCATGGGGGTATTGGGGGTAACGATACAAAAGGTTTGCTAGGGTAGACCCTCTTTCACTCAGACTCAGCCCCCCCCCCCGAACCAAACTCAGCCCCCCTGAAACAAAATCCTGGCTACGGGCCTGCAAAGGGCCATCCAGCCATTCACACACACACACACACACACACACACACACATGTATTTGACAGATGCAAAAAAAATGCATTACAACGCATGCGCAAAACTACATATATGCACGCAAACACACATATAAACACACATATATACACAAATATATACACATATATGCATATATACACACACAAAACACACACACAGAAAGGGGAAAGGAAGGAAGGAAAGGAAGGAAGGAAGGAAGGAAGGAAGGAGAAGGAGAAGAAAAGAGGGAAGAAGGTGAAGGAGAGAAGGAAAGAAAAGTAGAAAAGGAAGGAGAGAAGGAAATAAAAAAGTGAAAGAAGGAAGGAAAGAGAAAGGGAAGGAAGGAGAGAAGGAATGAAAGAGAGAAAGAGAGAGGGAAGGAAGGAAAGAGACAAGGAAGAATAGAACCAAAGAGCAAAGGAAGGGAGGAAAGAAACAGGTAGAGAAGGAAGAAAGAAGAAGAGAAAGTAGAAGAGCAAAGGAAGGGAGGGAAGGAAAGAGACAGGGAAGGAAGGAAGGAGGGAAAGAGGGAGGGAAGGTTGGCCACAGCAACGCGTGGCAGGTACAGCTAGTTGAATAATAAGAATAAAGGATTTGGTAACAAAACATTGTATTTTGCTGAGGCTAGAAATAGTCAGAACCTGGAAGAAACTAAAGAGTTGATCAAGAAAGAATGGGTTACATAAGATAGACTACAGGTAAAGTTTGATAAAGGTAAAGTTTTTCCCTTCACATTAAGTCTAGTCGTGTCTGACTCTGCGGGTTGGTGCTCATGTCCATTTCTAAGTCGAAGAGCCGGTGTTGTCCGTAGACGCCTCCAAGGTCATGTGGCCATGCCGGCCCTATCAGAAAAAATCAGTAAAGGTAAAGATTTTCCCCTGACATTAAGTCTAGTCGTGTCCGACTCTGCGGGTTGGTGTTCATCTCCATTTCAAAGCCAAAGAGCCGGCGTTGTCCATAGACAAGGTCATGTGGCCGGCATGACTACATGGAGCACTGTTACCTTTCCACTGGAGCGGTACCTATTAATCTACTCACATTTGCATGTTTTCAAACTACTAGGTTGACAGTGAACCCCACCAACAATGGAATTGAACCAAACATGGCACACAGTTCTCCCATGACCAACAGAAAATACTGGAAGGGTTTGGTGGGCAGTGTCCTTTGGTTTTGGAGTTGTAGTTCACCCACATCCAGAGATCACTGTGGACTCAAACAATGATGGATCTGGACCAAACTGTACACGAATACTCAATTTGCCCAAATGTAAACTCTGGTGGACTTTGGGGAAAATAGAATCTTGACACTTGGGAGTTGTAGTTGCTGAGATTTATAGTTCACCTACAATCACAGAGTATTCTGAACCCAGCCAATGATAGAATTGGGCCAAACCTCCCACACAGAACCCCCATGTGGGCCACAGCAATGTGTGGCAGGGGACCACTAGTTTATAAATAAATACGGAGAACCCCGGTGGCGCAGAGGGTTAAACCACTGTGCTGCTGAACTTCCTGACCAAAAGGTCAGCAGTACGAATCCAGGGAGCGAAGTGAGCTCCCACTGTTAGCCTCAGCTTCTGCCAACCTAGCAGTTCGAAAACATGCAATTGTGAGTAGATCAATAGGTACTGCTTCGGTGGGAAAGTAATGGCACTCCATGCAGTCATGCTGGCCACATGACCCTGGAGACGTCTATGGACAATGCCGGCTGTTCGGTTTAGAAATGGAGATGAGCACCAACCCTCAGAGTCAGACATTACTGGACTTAATGTCAAGGGGAAACCTTTACCTTTATAATTAAATATAATTTTAAAAGATGGTAAGATTTTAAAGTCATTTACAGCACAATTTAAAACCAATACTCTATACCCTGTACAGAATTTTAAAAATATTTATGTTGTTGATAAAGTAAGAAGGGGCTGGACTTGCTGATGAAAATAATATTGATTTTTATTCATCTCTTGCCCATAGATTGAAGTGGAGAACAGCAACAAATAGTACAACGCACAGCATTGATTAAAATGTAATTAAATCAGTACAATGTCACCTCAAAGACTAGATAGGTTTGCAAGCGAGAAAGAAAACAAACTTACCTGGATGTCAGTCACACACTGCAGTTCGTATTGGTCTCCCAAAGTGGGCTGCAATGCTGCCTGGAAGGAGCTGAGCTAATACATTGCAAAAGAGAAACAGTTAAAAACATTCAATTGTTGTTATTATTATTCACTTTATTTATATCCTGCTTTTCCCCCAAGACTGGGACTCGAGCTATCTTACACATTAAAACGATGAGAATGGAAAACATAGCATTAAAAATGAATTAAATGATTAGGCCAGAATATGAGAGCAAATGACTTTATATGACAATTACTCCTGGGAGACACTATCTATCTATCTATCTATCTATCTATCTATCTATCTATCTATCTATCTATCTATCTATCTAATGAATGAATGAATGAATGAAATAAAAATATATTAGTATAGCTGGCACTCTGGGGAGACACTATAATAATGATTAAAATATTATTACATATATTAATGTCTCTGCTACACCAGGGAGAAACTGTAATAAGGATTTAAAATATTATAAATAAAAATATAAATATATTAATATATTAAATATATATTTACAAAGAAATATTCTTTCTAAAAAGTAAAAAAAATATTATTAATACCTCTGCCACTCTAGGGAGACACTCCAATAAAAATTTGAAATAGTATTAAAAGTATTTAAAAATAAAACTATATTAATATGGCCACCATGCTGGAGAGACTATACACACACACACACACATACACACACACATACATATATATATATGTATGTATTAGCATGACCACCACTCTGGGGAGGCACCACAATAATAAGAATAAACAATATTATTTAAAATATTAAATATAAGAAATAAAAATATGTTAATATGGCAACCACTCCAGGGAGATACTATAATAATAATATGTATGAAAAATATTTTTAAAAATAATATATAAAAATAAAAATAGATTAATATGGCCACCATATTAATATCATATTAATTGTGTGGGGAGACACACTAATAATCATAAGGATAAAAAATATTATATAGAAAAATGAATTATGTATGTGTGTGTGTATATATATATATAAATTAATATGGCTGCCATACTGGAAAGACAATATAATAATAATTAAAATATTAACAAAAATATATATATAATAAGTATATATTAATATTGGTGCCATCCTGGGGAGAACTATAAGAGGAATGAAAATTATTATTACAAATATTTTATATAATATTTTATATAATATTTTAAATCCATATTAGAGTATCTCCCTGGGGTGGCAGGCATATTAGCATACATTAGATAGATAGATATATATATATATGGGGTATTTTTAAGTAAGGTCCGTTTGAACATAAGTACACAAAGAAAGTTTGTTTCAAAAAAGTAAATTTATTTTCAGAAAGTACATACTTCACTCTATTGCCAAGTTTGTTCAAACACTTCATAAATCCTCGCTTCAACTGAAGCCACCAAATTGTCTGTAACTAAAGAAGGGCGACCAGAGCAGTCCTCATCATCATGGACGTTGTAATGGCCATCTTTGAATTGTCGTACCCACTTACGCACTTTGCTTTCACTCATAACAGTCTCACCGTACACTTCACAAATCTGTCGATGAATTTCTGCAGCAGGCAGGTTCCTTGCTGACAAAAACCGTATCACTGAGCGAACCTCACATGCGGAGGGTGAGTTGATAGTCTTAAACATTTTTAAAGCACAGAACAGAACCGTACAGGTTAGCTACAGAGTGGAAACTGAGCACAGTTGTTCCCGAGGCATGCCGGTACACGACACACGCGCTCGTTGCGGTATGCATGCAAACTACTAGTGTCTACAACAAAACGGACCTTACTTAAAAAAATACCCCTCGTGTGTGTGTGTGTGTGTGTGTGTGTGTGTACACTAATATGCCTGCCACCCCAGGGAGACACTAATATGGATTTAAAATATTATATAAAAATATATTAAAATGTTTGCCACTTTGGAAGACATTATAATAATATATATGTGTGTGTGTGTGTGTATATATATATATATGCACAAGGACAGAGAAACTGGGACATATTAAAGCAGCTGAAAAAGTGGGATGACAGAGGCATAAATCGAGGCATTTCCTGCCAAATCAAGACAGTTGGAGTGTATGATGTTGCTGAAATTTACCTGGTAGCTGTAACGGCAAGATGGGACAATACCGGCATTTTGGAAAGCGCTACATTAAGAAAAAGAAAGAATGAATGTTACTCATTCGAAACCATAATTATACCTTTCTTTTCAGGAAACCTGCCATTAATAGTTTAGAAAACAGCTTGGTCCAAGGATCATCACTTTGAGTAGCACCGCTTTCAAATGCGTCATGTGCATGCCTATCCAAACTAGCTCCAAAATTTGCTAGTCATCATTGTGCTGAGCTGTAGAGCACATCAACGCGGCTCCTTCAATGGGAAGTGAAGCGTCGTGGCTCACCTGTCGATGTTGTATTTGGTGCGCAGGTCGAGGGCCGCTCTGAAGTATTTATTGGGGGAGTTCAGTGTTTCGACACAGCCACCACAAGTCCCGTGCTTATACCATTCTTTCTCCCTGGAGAAGGAGAGGGAGCAAGCACAAACCTTACCTGTCTTGCAATGTCGTTCAATACGACGCCTTCCCAACTGTGGAACAGAAAGCCTTACTTTGGGGTTAAGGGAGAGGTCAACAACGGCTTGAAAATTAAAGCCTGTTAAATGAATCAACTGTGGAGTTTTTGGGGGTTTTTTTGGAATGGAAATACCTCTGTCAATTGGGGAGAATATATATTAAATAACTATATGTGGGTAGAGGTTTTGTCTAGCTTGAAAAGGCTTTGAGGAAATGTCATTATTATCAATTACATAATAAATAATGAATAATGAGTAAATTAATAAATAACCCAGTGTGGAACACATCTCACCATGCCAAAACAGTGGATGTGGCTCTTAATGAGACATGCCGCATTATCATGAGGTGTCTGCGCCCTACACCACTGGAGAAATTACACTGCTTAGCCGGTATTGCACCACCTGACATCCGCCGGGAAGTAGCAGCCAATAGTGAAAGGACCAAGGCAGAGACATCTCCAGCTCATTCCTGTTTGGGTATCAGCCAGCACGTCAACGACTTAAATCAAGAAATAGTTTTCTAAGATCTACAGAGACACTCGCTGGAACACCTCAGCAAGCGAGAGTCCAAAAGTGGCAGGCTCAAACCCAGAACCTCAACCAATGGCTGATACCAAATGAGAGACTCCCCCCTGGGCACAGAAAACTGGGCGACTTGGAAGGCGCTGAACAGACTGCGCTCTGGCACCACGAGATGCAGAGCCAACCTTCAGAAATGGGGCCACAAAGTGGAATCCACGACATGTGAGTGTGGAGAAGAGCAAACCACTGACCACCTGCTGCAATGCAACCTGAGCCCTGCCACATGCACAATGGAGGACCTTCTTGCAGCAACACCAGAAGCACTCCAAGTGGCCAGATACTGGTCAAAGGACATTTAATCAACTACCAAACTCACAAATTTTGTATTTTGTCTGTTTGTTTGCTTTGTTCTGTTAGAAATGTAATATAATTGACTGGTTGCCCCTACACGACAAATAAAGCTTAGATATGCAGTGTTTTCAATACTGAATTAACATGTGCATACACTGAGCTATCGGAGAGCAAAGCTGTCACGATCTCAACCAATTTTAACATGTTTTGGAATTGCAGGTACGGAATGCCCAGCCTGTACCGTTCCCCGTTTAGATTCCCAATTTCCATCCCATCGTCTTTGCAGCTGTGTTGCATTACCAGAAAAGGAAGTTACTGAGATTGATGAAGCTGGGCCAGTGCCAATTCAGGTCAGGCAGCAGATCCTGCAGGAAGGGGGAAACAGCCAGGTTTCAGCAATGGAAAATAAAACCTTGGGTGCGTCTATGCTGTAGAATGAATCCACTGAATACTATGGTGTCATGGAGGAAGGGGTGTAATAGTTTGACAAGGTATTGAGCCTTCCCTGCCAAAGGATGTGGGTGCTTCACTAAAGTACAGATCCCAGAATGCTATATTATTGAGCCACGGCCATTAAATTCGAGGTAATGTCCTTCAAATACGAGGGTTGAATGAAAAGTGATGCCTCCACCTTCGTAACTCCTCAACAGATGGCAGTACTGGTTTGCGGCAGGTACTGGCTTATTCAGTAGACTCTCCTCTACAGTTCCATTTTGGTGGGAAGCCTTAGTATTTAATGGTTGTGTTGTTAAAGTGCAAAGTATGGAATCCTGCGCAGACGGTCAGTCAATGCGACAAGCAACCTATGTGGCAGGTACTGGCTTGTTCAGTAGACTCTCCTCTACAGTTCCATTTTGGTGGGAAGCCTTAGCACAGTGGTTCTCAACCTTTCTAACACCGTGACCCCTAAATATGGTTCCTCATGTTGTGGTGACCCCCAACCATAAAATTATTTTCATTGCTCCTTTATAACTGTAATTTTGCTACTGTTACGAATTGTAATGTAAATATCTGATATGGAGGATATTTTTTCATTGTTACAAATTCAGCATAATTAAAGCATTATGATTAATAAGAAAAAATATGTTCGGGGGAGTATGGAAAACAGATGATGGGATTTGCAGTACCTTCACCCAATTCAGCTCTGACTTCCATAGACCACTGAGACCTCCACACAGAACTCCTATGTCAAACTAAAAATACTGGAGGGGTTTGGGAGGAATTGACAGTGATTTAAGGGAGATGTAGTTTACCTACATCTGGAGAGCATTGTGAACCCAAACAACTATGGATCTGGACCAAACGTGGCACGAATACTCAATATGCCCAAATTTGAACACTGGGGGAGTTTGGGGAAAATAGACTCTGACATTTGGGAGTTGTAGTTCCTTGCCGGAAGGTGGGACCACAGCCCAGCCAAGGGAGCCTTCATGCGAGGAGAGCCCTCAGCTGGGTCACGGCATTAGGGGCGGGGCCTACGGGGGCGGCCTCACAACCCCTCCAATATGGCCAAACGACCCCCCTGGGGGTCGCGACCCCCATGTTGAGAACCGCTGCCTTAGCATTTAATGGTTGTGTTGTTAACGTGCGAAGTATGGAATCCTGCGAAGACGGTCGGTCAATGTGACTTAAGCAACGTATGCAGCAGGTATTAGCTTGTTCAGTAGACTCTCCTCTACAGTTCCATTTTGGCAGGAAGCCTTAGCATTGAATGGTTGTGTTGTTAAAGTTCAACAGTGACAAATGCAAGATACTCCACTTTGGCAGAAAAAATGAAATGCAAAGATACAGAATGGGTGACGCCTGGCTCGAGAGCAGTACGTGTGAAAAAGATCTTGGAGTCCTCGTGGACATGAGCCAACAATGTGATGTGGCGGCAAAAAAAGCCAATGGGATTTTGGCCTGCATCAATAGGAGCATAGTGTCTAGATCTAGGGAAGTAATGCTACCCCTCTATTCTGCTTTGGTTAGACCACACCTGGAATATTGTGTCCAATTCTGGGCACCACAATTCAAGAGAGATATTGACAAGCTGAATGTGTCCAGAGGAGGGCGACTAAAATGATCAAGGGTCTGGAGAACAAGCCCTATGAGGAGCGGCTTAAGGAGCTGGGCATGTTTAGCCTGAAGAAGAGAAGGCTGAGAGGAGATATGATAGCCATGTATAAATATGTGAGAGGAAGCCACAGGGAGGAGGGAGCAAGCTTGGTTTCTGCTTCCTTGGAGACTAGGACGCAATGGACCAATGGCTTCAAACTACAAGAGAGGAGATTCCATCTGAACATTAGGAAGAACTTCCTGACTGTGAGAGCCGTTCAGCAGTGGAACTCTCTGCCCCGGAGTGTGGTGGAGGCTCCTTCTTTGGAAGTTTTTAAGCAGAGGCTGGATGGCCATTTGTCAGGGGTGATTTGAATGCAATATTCCTGCTTCTTGGCAGAATGGGGTTGGACTGGATGGCCCATGAGGTCTCTTCCAACTCTTTGATTCTATGATTCTATGATTCTAAAGTGCGAAGTATGAAACCCTGCGCAGACGGTCAGTCAATGTGACTTAAGCAACCTATGCGGCAAGTACTGGCTTATTCAGTAGACTCGCCTCTACAGTTCAATTTTGGTGGGAAGCCTTAGCATTGAACGGTTGTGTTGTAAAAGTGCAAAGTATGGAACCCGGCACAGACAGTCGGTCAATGTGACTTAAGCAACGTATGCGGCAGGTACTGGCTTGTTCAGTAGACTCTCCTCTACAGTTCCATTTTGGCCAGAAGCCTTAGCATTGAACGGTTGTGTTGTAAAAGTGCAAAGTATGGAACCCTGCACAGACGGTCGGTCAATGCGACTTAAGCAACGTGCAGTCATTGAATTCTTGACAGCAGAAGGTGTCACCCCAAAGGAGATTCATCAGAGAATGCAAGCTGTTGATGGTGGTTGTGTTGATGTGAGGACTGTGCGTTGCTGGGCGAGAGAGATGTTGAGGTGGGAACATCTGACTTGCATGACAAACAAAGAGTTGGACGTCCTGTGACAGCAACCACCGAGTTTCACAAGCAAAAGGTTGACAGATTGATTCAGGATGATTGTCGTATCACTCAGAGAGAAATTTCAAGCATAATCAGCATTTCACAAGAACGTGTGGGTCACATTATTGCTTTGCTTGGCTATCGGAAGATCTGTGTACAATGGGTACCCAGGATGCTGATGCCTGAAATGAAAGCGCACAGACTTGAAACTTCAGAGACTGGATCTCACCACCGTATGACATCCTCCATACAGTCCAGATTTAGTACCGTATGAGTTCCATCTCTTCCCAATAATAAAAGAAGATCTGCAGGGACATCATTCTGCTTCTGATGAAGACATTGAGAAAACTGTAAGACGCTGGTTGTGGAAACAGAGTGTCGACTTCTTCCGTGACGGCTTCAGAAAACTTATTCATTGTTGGCAGAAATGTATCCAATCGTCTGGTGATTATGTGGAAAAGTGAATAGTGGTAGTTAAAGAGCACATTCTAAGGATTATTTCTGCTTGATTTTAATTAAAATATTCCCATCCAAATCCAAGTCATGAAAGTGGAGGCATTACTTTTCATTCAACCCTCATAGGACCTCCAGCTGCTCCTGAAACAGCTCTCCCTTTGACTTTGTCTCGGCACTAATAATAACTTGACCATATGACGTGAATCTAATGCGCACCTTAATTTTTGCAAGGTGATTTAGCCCCAAAAAGGTGAGCATTAGATTCGAGTAAATAAGCATAATTTTTCTGCACTCTGGGATCTGTAGTATCCGTTCCCTTTCCAAAAAGTTCCAAAAACTCTGGCCTACCGTCAAGTCGGAGGGAAAGAGGTACCAGTAGTGACAACACGCTGTGATATCACTGGGCCTGTGGATTGAAGAACAGACAGTTGAAGACAACTTATGAGGAACACACACTTGCTGTTGTGCGCCTTCAAGTCATTTCTGACGAATGGCGAAGCTATCGTAGGGTTTTCTTGGCAAGATTCACTCAAGGGAAGGGATGTTCACATGTTTCTTGGTCTGAATGGGGTTTCCTCACCATAATCCATGGATGGTCCAGTTGTTGGCGTTCTTTGGCAGGACACACTCAAACCTAGTGGCCAGAGCCTCCACACAAGACACAAAAGGAAGATAATATGTTAATGTATAGGAAGCGGGAGTATATTTATCTAGGCATGTGCAATCCATGGTTCTAAATCAGTGTTTCTCAACCTGGGGGTCAGGACCCCTGGGGGGGGGTCGCAAGGGGATGTCAGAGGGGTCGCCAAAGACCATCAGAAAACATAATATTTTCTGTTGGTAATGGGAGTTTTGTGTGGGAAGTCTGGCCCAATTTTATTGTTGGTTGGGTTCAAGATGCTCTTTGACTCTAGGTGAACTATACATCCCAGCAACCATAACGCCCAGATGGTAAGGTCTATTTTCCCCAAACTCCACCAGTGTTCACATTTGGGCATATTGAGCATTTGTGCCAAGTTAGGTCCAGATCCATCATTGTTTGAGTCCACAGTGCTCTCTGGATGTAGGTGAACTACAACTCCAAAACTCAAGGTCAATGTCCACCAAACCCTTCCAGTATTTTCTGTTGGTCATGGAAGTTCTGTGTGCCAAGTTCAATTCCATCCTTGGTGGAGTTCAAAATGCTCCTGGATTGTAGGTGAACTATAAATCCCAACTGACAACATCAACCTCCCCCAACCCCACCAGTATTCAAATTTGGGTGCATCAGGTATTTGTGCCAGATTTGGTCCAGTGAATGAAAATACATCTAGCAAATCAGATATTTGCATTACGATTCGTAACAGTAGCAAAATTACAGTTCTGAAGCGGCAACAAAAATAATGTTATGGTTATGGTTAAAAACTGTGTTGTGGTTAAAAACTGTTATGGTTAGGGGTCACCACAACATGAGAACTGTATTAAGGGGTCGGGGCATGAGGAAAGTTGAGAACCACTGTTCTAAATGGTTCTAAAGTACTTACAAACTAAAGTTCTGGTTGTGAAAACTAGGGGGCGCTGGTGTTTTGCTTCTACAGTGTTGCTAAAGTTCTGGTGGTGAAAATTTCAGAACTCTAACAAAACTTTCAAAATTTCATTATTTCATTATTGGTGATTTTTATGACAGAACCTATGTGCCATGTTGAGATTAATTTCGCAATTCAGCAGCAGATCATTTGCACAACTTCAGTGTTTCAGTAGCTTCTTCCTGCACAGTATTTTCAGTCAACTGCTCCCACAGCCTGCAGTCACTCTGGAACCTTTTACATACACTTGAGCACATGCCCGGCCATTGTCAGTTTTACCATTGTCTTTCCCCCAGTCTAGATGATATTACAAACTTACCACAGCATACAGTTATATCTTGTCTTAGCAAACAGGTTCTATTAATTACATATAGCCTTCGACGAACAACATCACAGCACAAGGAGAGATATACACTGTACTTGACTTCCTTATATACAATTCTATACAATTACACGTAGCAAACTCTGATTGGTTCCCAACTCATTAACTTAACTCAGACCCAGGATTGCATGATTCACAATCACCTGGACTAGGCCAGAACACATTCCCCAAATGAAGTTCTATATACAGTTAATGCAGGACTCAGCATTCCCAATAGAAGCCCATTAGCAGTGCATGACTCCGCTATATTACATTGCAATACATTGTAAAACCTGACAGTTCTGGTGGTGAAAATTTCAGAACTCTTAACAAAACTTTCAAAATTTCATTATTATTTCATTATTGGTGATTTTTATGACAGAACCTATTAGGAACTGCCATTTATAATGAAATTTTGAAAGTTGTGTTAGAGTTCTGAAAGTTTCACCACCAGAACTTTAGTTTTGTAAGTACAGTACTTTAGAACCAATTAGAACTATGGATTGCACATGCCTATTATTTACCTAAATGACATAAACCATGTGCATCTTCCCCCATGCTTCAGCTCAATCCAAAACCATTTTTTGATTCAGTAATCCCTAGGGTTCCAACACATGGGTTTCGAGGAATAATTTATAACTTAATAACAATATGAGGATTGAATGAAAAGTAATGCCTCCACCTTTGTAACTACTTAACAAATTGCAGTACTGGTATGCGGCAGATACTGGCTTGTTCAGTAGACTCTCCTCTATAATTCCATTTTGGGGGGGAAGCCTTAGCATTGAATGGTTGTGTTGTTAAAGTGTGAAGTATGGAACCCTGCGCAGACGGTTGGTCAATGTGACTTAAACAACGTGCAGTCATTGAATTCTTGACAGCAGAAAGTGTCACCCCAAAGGATGCACAGTCCTCACATCAACACAAGCACCATAAACAGCTTGCATTCTCTGATGAATCTCCTTTGGGGTGATACCGCTGGCTGTCAAGAATTCAATGACTGCACATTGCTTAAGACACATTGACTGACCTTCTTCGCAGGGTTCCATACTTCGCACAATTGTTGAATGCTAACATTTCCCACCAAAAGAGAACTGTAGAGGAGAGTCTACTGAACAAGCCAGTACTGCCATCTGTTGAGGAGTTCTGAAAGTGGTGTTGTGACTCAGCTGGAACCACAGACACAGACTGATGGTGTTGTGACTCAGATGGGGTCTCAGAGTGATTCTGACGAGGATGATGGGATTCAGGTTCACAATCAGGTTCAAAATGTTCCTGTTGTAGACAATGAGGAAGAGGGTGTACAAGTTCAGTTTCCCACAGCAGAGAATGATGTTTTTGATACTGAAACTAGCCAGGTGCAAATTGACTCAGAAAATGAGGACAGTTCTCAGCCTGATAGTAGGCAGGAAGGCAACCAGGCTGACAGTAACGAGCAGCCTGACCTTGATGGAACAGGAATCTTAGATCGGGCTGACTGTTTGGAATTCAGAGTTCAAAGGAGTGTGAGAATAGCCAACAAGAAGGAGGTCAGAGGCCAAAAAATTGCTTTCATGTATAGCAAAGGGTATTAAGCAGTGTGTTTGAAAACAAACCTTTGTCAGAACAAAGGTTGAACACTATAGTTATCAAGGTCCAGGGAATCCAAGGAGGACTTTTCATTGACTGTTAGGAATTGTGGGAGTTGAAGTCCAGAACACCTAGAGGCCCAAAATTTGCCAAATGCCTGTTGTAGAAGATGTGAATGTACACGAGAGGTTCTAGATTGGAAACTGTCTGCCTTACCACACAGAACGAGCCTGGCCACATCTGGACAAAATTCAAGCACTGCCAAGGGCAATAATACCTACAAAGCAGAAGAGAGAGAATTATTACGGATCAATTTCCCTCTGGTTTTTTTTTTTAGTCTTTTGTGACCCAAATTGTATAGCTTTTCCCACTTACTCTGAACGCTCCGGCGCCGCTTTCTGCCACGGCTCCTCAGATCCGATCAGCACAAAAAGCCACACAAAGCCATTGAGGAGCAAACACAGGGACCACAACGCAGGCTCTTTCCCCATCGTACCTACAAGGCCCTGCTTCGATTTAACACTACATAAATAAAAATGTAATGTTAGTTTGTGGGATTAACACAACGCAAAAACCACTGGGCGAATTGCTGCCAATTTTGACCACAAGACACCTACCAACCTAAGAAGTGACCATCTCTCCAAAAATTGATTTTGTCATTTGGAAATTATAGTTGCTGGGATTTCACCTACAATCAAAGAGCATTCTGAACTCCACCAATAATGGAATTGAACCAAACGCGGCACACAGGACTCCCATGACCAATATGGGCATTGACCTTGAGTTTGGGAGTTGTAGTTCATCAACATTCAGAGAGCACTGATGACTCAAACAATGAAGGATCCAATCCAAACTTAGCACGAATATTTCATATTCCAAATATGCACACCGATGGAGTTTGGGGAAAATAGTCCTTGACATTTGGGAGTTGTAGTTTCTGGGATTTATAGTTAACCTACAATCAAAGAGCATTCTGAACTCCACCAATGATGGAATTGAACCAAATGTGGCACACAGGACTCCCATGACCAACAGAAAACACTATAAGGGTTTGGTGAGCATTGACCTTGAGTTTGGGAGATGTAGTTCACCTATATCCAGAGAGCACTGTGGACTCAAATAATAATGGATCCAGACCAAACTTGGCATGAATATTCCATATGCCCAAATAGGAACACAGGTGGAGTTTGGAGGGAAAATAGACCTTGACATTTGGGATTTATAATTCACCTACTATCAAAGAGCATTCTGAACTCAACCAACGACAGAATTGGGGCAAACTTCCCACACTGAACCCCCATGATCAACCAAAAATACTTAAGGCCATCCAGTCCAACTCCTTTCACCAGGGCAAGAAAACGTAATCAAAGCCCTCCTGACAAAGAGCCATCCAGCCAGAGATTAGATAGATAGATAGATAGATAGATAGATAGATAGATAGATAGATAGATAGATAGATATAGATATGATTCACACACAGAAATGTAGTATCATAGATTTGAAAGGGACCCCCAAAGAAGGACAATTATATGTTGCATGTTCCAAAGTAGGCAACCCAGACAATCTCGACATCAACACTGACAAAGAAACAGCAACAAATACTGTTTACCCACAAGCATAAAGAAATTACATATATTAGAAACCAACACTTTCTAATTACTTTATTTTCCAGATCACCAGACTGGGCCACAGCAACGAGTGGCAGGGGACGGCTAGTACAAAATAAATAGGTTACCAATCAACAAGCCCAGCTCAGCACTGGAATGACCTCCAGAGGTTTGATAATCAAGAACTGTGTCTGAGCTACTCTAACACCCATTTCTTCTAAAGGTTTCAAGAGAGGGAAAAACTCAATCACTACATCTCTCCTGAAACACAAGCAGAGAGAGATCTCAAAGCACACAGCACATACTCTCCGTACTAGAGTATAAGGATTCCTAAGCTTCTTCTAAAGGTTTCAAGAGAGGGAAAAACATAATCACTACGTCTCCCCTGAAACACAAGTAGAGAGAGATCTCAAAGCACACAGCACATGCTCTCCTTATACTAGAGTATAAGGATTCCTAAGCTTCTTCTAAAGGTTTCAAGAGAAGGAAAAACACAATCACTACATTTCTTCTGACACACAAGCAGAGACAGATCTCAAAGCACACAGCACATACTCCTCATACAAAGGGGAAGAATTGCTGTCTCCAATTCAACCGAGACATGAATTTGCCTGAAACCCTTGGCCTGCTGATACTATATACTGAACTAGATGCAGAAAGGTGCTTTCCTTGTACTGCAACATCCAGCATCCCCTTGCAAACATATTTAACATCATTCAACTCTCTGCAAACTCGTTAAGTTGTAAAAATAATATTATTTTCTTACCAGTCACAGGTTTACTTGATGTTGCTAGTTCCCTCAAAGAGGCAAACCATGGGGTTCAAATGAGGAAACTGGTTTCACTTCTGCATAAGGTGTGGCAAAATAAGTCGATGCTCAGCTGCACCGTGGAGTCTCAGATCTTCGTTACCATCATGGCGTTGAAAACGCATGCAAATGTTCATGCTTCACAGAACTATTTATATTTTCAAATATGGTTCGAATTTGGGGAGTGGGGCGAGCTCCTGCTGTTAGCCCCAGCTTCTGCCAACCTAGCAGTTCGAAAACATGCAAATATGAGTAGATCAATAGGTGCTGCTCCAGCAGGAAGGTAACAGCACTCCATACAGTCATGCCAGCCACATGACCATGGAGGCGTCTATGGACAACGCCAGCTCTTTGGCTTAGAAATTGAAATGAGCACCAACCCCCAAAGTCGGACACGACTTAATGTCAGGGGAAAACCTTTACCTTTACTACCCAGTTATAAAACCATCATTTGCATGAAGTGCAACATCATCCCTATGGTTGGATGGAGAATCCATGGATGCAGAGGGCTGATATTTTTTTTTAGATATATAGTAACTAGCTTGGGTACTTGGCATTGCCCAGGATATTTGAAAAATAATGTTAGTGTTACAAAATGCATAAGGTTGTGGGTGAACTACAACTCACATCATGCCAAGTTAAGCCTGAGAAACTCCATCAATACTTAAAGTTTGTTATGTTGGGCAAGTTTTAGTTGGATGCATCATCAGTGGCGTTCCGTGTGCTCTCTGGCTGTAGGGTAAACTACAACTCCCACTAGGATGAGTCAGTCCCCTCAAACTGAAGTCGATAGGGAATTTTAAAAGGTTTAGTCCAGGAGGAGAGATTCTGCGGCCCCACCAAAGAGGGATCACTACGTTAGTGAGCAAAGAGAAGCCTAATTTTAAATTATTTATTTTCCCTAGGTTACCAAAAAGAATCTCACCAAAGTTGAAGGAAGCGCCACCGAAATGATTTATTAGCGATTCAGCTGAAAAGGATGCAAAGCAGCAATCATTCACCAAGCTGAGCATAACATGTACACAAATAAATGCCATTTTTATAGAAATACAGAGTTGTATGGTTCAAATCTCCCGCTCTCTGCTCCTCACCTGGCTTGAAGGTGATTGGCTGGTGCGTTAACAGCTGGGAGGAGGCTCGGCCGCCTCCCAAGCACCTGGGCCAATCACAGGGCTTCTGCAGTGCGCCAGATCCAATCAGAAGGCTTCCGTCGCCTCAGCGCTCCAGCGAATCAGGAGGGAGGGAGGCGGGACAAGGGAATACAATGCATTCTTGAATGGATTATGGAAACACAAGAAATGTCCAGGGGCTCAGCGAGTCCTAAACTGGCCTTCAAGCTAAGCCTTTCTATTTTCTGGTGATTGAAATAAACACTGATGTTGACAATACCAACATAATCTGGATTTTCCTTTTACGATAAGACAGGGGAACAATGGGGGAAACTTAGGTGGATGTCTTCAGTGAGAGAGTTTGAATGGGAACAGTTCAGGAAGGGGACACTTTCCGAAGGCTTCCCCTTGTACTATTGTAACATAATCAAGATTTGCCAAGCAATCATTTCCCTGGTGGTCAAATCCTCTGAGGCCAGGGCACGATTCTTTGTTATAGTCCATGCAAGGAGTGTCCTTTGATAAGGGTTTCTGCAATTGCTAATTGCTTCCTCTCCAGGGTCAGGGCGACTTTCTTATATTTTTATACATTTTTTCCAAAGGGAAGGGAATGGGGCAAAAGGGTCAAGAAAAGGTCAGATACACAGGGGAAAATATAGAAATACAGAAATCAAGTTATAGAAATCATACGCTTCCATCCCTCCCCCCAGAGTCTCATAGGTAAATTGATAAAAAGCCTTGATCATGGCTCAGTGTTACTTCATAGTTCATTTCAGGAAGATCCATAGGTGAAAGTAAGTCCATGAAGGAAAAAGAGGTCCATAAAGTGTGGCAAAAGGTCCAAAAGTAATGAAAAGGGACCTGATGATTTCCACTGAGCCAAGGTATGGAGCCCTACAGCGCTGAGGTCAAAGCTTGTCCTTGGAAAACTATAACTCCTTCCAAGCGCTGGAGCCTGGTGACCGATCTGCTCCCTGAAAGCCTCATGGGGTGACTGCATCAAGTCTCTGGGTCGAGTAGCTCCAGAAGGACGAAGAAACAGTGATGGCAGCGGTAGCGCAGCAGTAGGGAGGCTTGGATTTGACAATCAGCTGTTTTCCTTAAAAATATATTCTTAAAAATTCAAAGGTTATTCCCTGAGCGTAGGGGCCCGAAATGCAAAAAGCGAGATAGCAGATAGTGTTAGAATTTAGCTAGGAAAAATATGGCACCAAAATGGAGTTGATCCATCAACCCGCGGATACGGGGCCCCGAGGGGTTTCCGTATCCGCGGTTTGAAGAAACACCGATTCAGCCTTCCTGGGATGCCTGGAAGGTAAATTCATGCTTTTTAGCTGAGTGAGTCAGGAAAAAGATGCAAAGTACTCTTCTGAAGAGGTAAAGGTTACAATTAAATTAGTCTTTATTTAGGGATTGGTTACATTGTTTGGGCTGGGGAAAGAAGCGAAAGGAGACAGCACAAAGCTGCAAAGAGTCCCTGGTTGAAGCTGCTACTGGGGCACATTTCATCAGTCTTAGCCCAACTGGGCATCCAGGAACTGCGGAACTCCCTGCGGCTGGTCAGATCAACTTGAAAGCAGGCCAAACATTCACACCTACCTCCAACAGACAAGAGTTCTTTCTCCCACCCTGAACTTTTCACAGATATATATACTCCACTTGCCTAGTTTCCAACCATCCTCACAACCTCTGAGGATACCTGCCATAGATGTGGGCGAAACATCAGGAGAGAATGCTTCTAGAACATAGTCAGACAGCCTAAAAAACCTACAACAAACCAGTGACTCTGGCCATGAAATCCTTTGACAATACTTTTAGGGATGTTTCTCCATTTCCTCCTCTTCTCACTAGTCTTGTTTTGACATTTCCAGATGTAGTGAGGTTAAGTCAGCACCCTGAACACTTTCCCTATCTTACAAGAAAGTTTTAATTTCTTTTCCGAAGCCTTTAGTGTGTTTGCTGCCTGAATCCAGGCCTCTGATCATTGCATGCCACTCTGCGTTTCCGCCTTGCCTTTTGGGCCCATGGGCTGCCCTTAACTCCTGGCCGCTGGACAAGAAAACGAACGGTCATCGACTGTCCGCCCTGGTCGCAAAGCCATGCCCTTGTAAGGGAGGTCAACAGACAAACAAGTGAAGGAGAAAAGCGAGGCCAGAAGGAAGAAGAGGGCGAGGAGCAGGCCGCAAAGCATGAGATCCCTCCTGGTAAAGAAAGACTTCCGCCTTGCATCTGCTTTGCAGAAGGAAAATACTAATTATGGGCTGTCTGCAAAGAGGAGAGCATTGTGTGGGTGCCTGCTGTGTGCCGCATGCTTAATTCTCACTCTTCCCACCATGGAGCCTCCAAATCAATCATTCACTGGCAGGTTGAGAGCTCGCAAAATGAAACTCAAAGGATCCTGGGGGCTCAAAGTGATTGCCTTTCCCCCTCCCCAGCATTAGCAAATACGTAACTGCAAAAGCTTGCACTGGGCTTGGAGAATTTGTTTTTTTCTGAAGTGCAAGGAGTAGAAGGGAAAAAACAGGTGTGGGAATCAACCGAGCAACTACCCTCATGTTTACCATGTAGCTCCCCACATTTTTTGCAAGTGCAGAGTCCAAAAAAATATATTAAACTAGCCGTCCCTTACCCAGCGTTGCAGTGGCCCAGTCTGGAAAATAAAGGCATGAGAAAGTGATTAAGTTGAACATGACCCCCTCCCCCACCATAAAAGATAGTAACTTATAGTTTTGCTAAGGACAAGGACACCAGACTGGATAATTAGGAATCATAGAATCAAAGAGTTGGAAGAGACCTCATGGGCCATCCAGTCCAACCCCATTCTGCCAAGAAGCAGGAATGTTGCATTCAAATCCACCCCTGACAGATGGCCATCCAGCCTCTGCTTAAAAGCTTCCAAAGAAGGAGCCTCCACCACACTCCGGGGCAGAGAGTTCCACTGCTGAACGGCTCTCACAGTCAGGAAGTTCTTCCTCATGTTCAGATGGAATCTCCTTTCTTGTAGTTTGAAGCCATTGTTCCACGTCCTAGTCTCCAGGGAAGCAGAAAACAAGCTTGCTCCCTCCTCCCTGTGGTTTCCTCTCACATATTTATACATGGCTATCATATGTCCTCTCAGCCTTCTCTTCTTCAGGCTAAACATGCCCAGCTCTTTAAGCCACTCCTCATAGGGCTTGTTCTCCAGACCCTTGATCATTTTAGTGACCCTCCCTCTGGACACATTCCAGGTTCTCAATATCTCTCTTGAATTGTGGTGCCCAGAATTGGACACAATATTCCAGGTGTGGTCTAACCAAAGCAGAATAGAGCATGGGGAGCATGACTTCCTAGATCTAGACACTATGCTCCTCTTGATGCAGGCCAAAATCCCATTGGCTTTTTTTGCCGCCACATCACATTGTTGGCTCATGTTTAACTTGTTGTCCACAAGACTCCAAGATCTTTTTCACACGTACTGCTCTCGAGCCAGGCGTCCCCCATTCTGTATCTTTGCATTTCGTTTTTTCCTGCCAAAGAGTTAAGACTTGGTCAATTTGCCAAGACACTAACAACAACAACAAAAACAGGACCCTTCCCATGTTAGATAGTGTGTACATTTAATCAAGGTTTTATGCCCTATGTTTCATATATAGCAGAAGGTAGCACATTTATTACTGAGAAACCACCTCCCTTTACACTTATGTACTCTCTTGAACTTCTATGGGACTTTTTTCCCTTCTGAAGGGCTCTTAGAAACTTTTTGGAAACTTTACCTTTTCAAGCCCCCTATGAATGACCTTTGCCTGACCCTTCTGTCCTATTCCCTTTTATAAAAAAATGTATAAAAATATAAGAAGCCACTCTCAGTGACCCTGGAAGGAGGAAATCTCCTGTTTGAAAATAACATTGCGCTGTCGCACGCTGGGCCTGTGCATAAGACTGTAGATAGGACATAGTTTCTGTGTGCCCAACAGGACGCCGGGGCTGCCTCAGATTAAAGACCCTTGGATTTCCTTAAAACAGAGTCTTTAGATTGCTTCAAGGTACAACAAAATTCTTTATTATTGAAAACAAACAGGTACTTCAAGGCTTTCTTAATAGTCTATTGGCTCTCTCAATCTTGTCCACTGGGAACAGGCACTATCTTCATAAACTGTACATTAACTAATGGGGAAATCCTTAACTTCTAATCTGGGCAGTCTGTCTTTGCCTCTGTTGGCGTGGAGCCCCTGCACCCGGTACCAACTGCTTCTGGCTTCCGCGAGAGACCCTTACCAAGCAGAGCTTTGTAGACTTCCAGGGAAAAAGAAGGAGTTCAGGTTTCAGTGATGGCTGGATGAAGTGCTATGAGAACAGACTCCCTCAGCAAAGGAGCTGTAAGGCTGTGTATCTCCCAGCCAAGCCATAGGGCCTTTTCTCCCCAGCCAAACTGTAGAAGACGAAGCTTTCTACAGGAGCTCTTGGTTTTACCTGCATGAAAAGCTTCTCTGTGTGGACTGAACCCAAACTGGCTCCTATTTCCTCCAAAACCCAAAAAGGGGGTGGGACCAGGGAACCTAACTCTAATTGACAGGTGGCTTGCCCTATGATTGCAGCCAAAAGAAGCCACCTATCTGCAGAGTCCCTGAAACTTAGGACTACAACAAACATTCAATGCAAAGCAAACAAAATTGGAGCTCCTGGTACAGCTGTACCTGCACAAACATTGTCAAAAGACATATTTGCATGGACAATACAATGGGCTTTGACCCTGGGGCTCGGAGTATGGCCCCCCAGAGGAAGGTGCCCACTTGGCATGATTGATCATATCTCAACAGGACAAAGGGCCTTCGGAAAGCCACAATTTGTCCTGATCTGTTCTCTCAGTTATCTTCCATCCACCAAAACTACAGCCAGGATTACCCCATTGTCTCCATATCTCAGTTCAAGAAAAATCTGGATTCTGGCCATCTCGCCAGACATCAATGTTGATTGCCACCCCTCAAGACAATAGGCTGGTCGGCTAGAAGGCCCCCTGAGGACTTGCTGACCACATGGGCACCACATATTTCCATAATCCACTCAAGTTCTCATTGTTTCCCTCTCGTCCCGCCTCCTTCTCTCCTGATTGGCCAGGAGGCTGAAGTGGCGGTGAGCTCATCCATTGGTTAAGGCGCTCAGGAGGCAGCCAAACCTCCTCCCAGCTGCAGAGCGCCAACCAATCAGACAGCTCTGTATATGTATAAAAAGGCTTTATTTTGTATTCAATGTATGCTTTGCTTGACGAATTATTGCGGCTTTGCATCCTTTCCAGCTGGATCGCAATAAAATCAACTCAGTGGTGCTTCCTTCAGCTTTGGTGAGATTCTTTTGGGAACTTAGGGAAATCTTTTAAACTGCGGCTTCTTTTCTTTTGCTCACCAAAGTAGCAAGCCCTCTTTGGTGGGTCCGCAGGGTCTCTCCTTCAGGATGAGACCCTTCCAAATTCCTCCTCGACTTTGGTGTTGGTTTCTAATAGATGTAATTTCTTTCTGCTTATGAGTAAACAGTATTTCTTGTTGCTTCTTTGTCAGTGTTGATGTGGAGATGGTCTGGTGTGCCTACTCTGGAACAGGCAACATATAATTGTCCTTCTTTAGGGGTCCCTTTCAAATCTAGGATACTATATCTCTCTCTGTGTGAATCATATCTATCTATTTATATGGCTGGATGGTTCTGTCAGGAGGGCTTTGATTACGTTTTCTTTCCCTGGTAAAGGGAGTTGGACTAGATGGCCTTAAGGCAGCATTTCTCAACCTGGGGTTGGGACCCCTGGGGGGGGGGGTCACAAAGGGTTGTCAGAAGGTTCGCCAAAGACCACCAGAAAACACCATACTTTCTGTTCGTCATGGGAGTTCTGTGTGCAAGGTTTGGCCCAGTTCTATCATTGGTGGGGTTCAGAATGCTCTTTGATTGTAGGTGAACAATAAATCCCAGCAACTACAATTCCCTAATGTCAAGGTCCTTTCTCTCCAAACTCCACCAGTGTTCACATTTGGGCATATTGAGTATCCGTGCCAAGTTTGGTCCAGATCCATCATTGTTTGAGTCTGCAGTGCTCTCTGGGTGTAAGTGAACTACAACTCCCAAACCCAAGGTCAACACCCACCAAACCCTTCCAGTGTTTATCATGGGAGTTCTGTATGCAATGTTTGGTTCAGTTCCATCGTTGGTGGAGTTCAGAATGCTTTGATTATAGCTGAACTATAAATCCCAGCAACTACAACTCCCAAATATCAAAGTCTATTTTCCCCAAACTCCACCAGTGTTCACTCTGGTGCATATTGAGTATTTGCACCAAGTTTGGTCCAGATCCATCATTGTTTGAGTCCGCAGTACTCTCTGGATGTAGGTGAACTACAACTCTGAAACTCAAGGTCAATGCCCACCAAACCCTTCCAGCATTTTCTGTTGTTTGTGGGAGTTCTGTGTGCCAAATTTGGTTCAGTTCCATCGTTGGTGGAGTTCAGAATGCTCTTTGATTGTAGCTGAACTATAAATCCCAGCAACTACAACTCCCAAATAGCAAAGTCTATTTTCCCCAAACTCCACCAGTGTTCACTCTGGGGCATATTGAGTATCCGTGCCAAGTTTGGTCCAGATCCATCATTGTTTGAGTCTGCAATGCTCTCTGGGTGTAAGTGAACTACAACTCCCAAACCCAAGGCCAATGCCCACTAAACCCTTCCAGTATTTTCCTTTCATCATGGGAGTTCTGTGTGCCAAGTTTGGTTCAATTCCATCGCTGGTAGTGTTCAGAATGCTATTTGATTGTAGGCGAACTATAAATCCCAGAAACTACAACTCCCAAATGACAAAATCAATCCTCCCTCCAACTCCACCAGTATTCAAATTTGGGCGTATTGGGTATTTGTGCCAAATTTCGCCTAGTGAATGAAAATACATCCTGCATATCAGATATTTACAGGATCTCCCCTGGCAGCAATCAGCCAGGCTTTGAAGCTGCAAGACTATTCAGTGCTAATCAACGTAGCCAATTGCAACATTCACACTTGCTTCAAGCAGACAAGAGTTCTTTCTCCCACCCTGGACATTATTCCACAGGTATACAAACCTCACTTGCCTAGTTTCCAACAGACCTCACAACCTCTGAAGATGTCTGCTATAGATGTAGGTGAAACGTCAGGAGAGAATGCTTCTGGAACATGGCCATACAGCCCGGAAAACTCACAGCAACCCAATGAATTTGAGCTTTGAGGGTTCCAGATTTGGGGGCAGATGGTAAAGAGACAGATGGCAACTTCTGCATGTCAACAGATTCAGGTTTCACATGTGCTTTTACATCCCTTGGGACAAAGTTTGACACACATTCGGGCTTGCGATCACAACTTCTGTGAGAAGCAGAAGTTGAAACGATGTGTACTCACAGCTGGTAAAAACCTCTCTTCCTTGGCTAATTGCAGCTAGGTGTTATTTATAGATATGTAATATCATTGCAAAGTTGGGGGAAATAGACCTTGACATTTGGGAGTAGTAGTTACTGGGATTTATAGTTCACCTACACTCAAAGAGCATTCTGAACTCCACCAACAATGGAATTGAACCCAACTTGGCACACAGAACTCCCCTGACGAACAGAAAATACTGGAAAGGTTTGGTGGGCATTGAACTTGGGTTTGGGAGTTGTAGTTGCTGGGATTTATAGTTCACCTATAATCAAAGAGCATTCTGAACTCCACCAGCAACGGAGTTGAACCAAACATGGCATACAGAACTGCCATGACCAACAGAAAATACTGGAAGGGTTTGGTGGACATTGACCTTGGGTTTGGGTGTTGTAGTTCACCGACATCCAGAGGGTTCTGTGGACTCAAACAATGATGGATGCGGAACAAACTTGGCACGAATACTCAATATGCCCCAAAGTGAACACTGGTGGAGTTTGGGGAAAATAGACCTTGACATTTGGGAGTTGTAGTTGCTGGGATTTATAGTTCACCTACAATCAAAGAGCATTCTGAACTCCACCAATGATGGAATTGAACCAAACTTGGCACACAGAACTCCCATGACCAACAGAAAATACTGGGTTTGATGGGCATTGTCCTTGAGTTTGGGAGTTGTAGTTCACCTGCATTCAGAGAGCACTGCGGATGATGGATCTGGACCAAAAATGGCACGAATACTCAATATGCCCCAAAGTGAACACTGGTGGAGTCTGGGGAAAATGGACGTTGACATTTGGGAGTTGTAGTTGCTGGGATTTATAGTTCACCTACAACCAAACAGCATTCTGAACTTCACCAATGATGGAATTGAACCAAACTTGGCACAGAGAACTCCCCTGACCAACAGAAAATACTGGAAGGGTTTGGTAGGCATTGACCTTGAGTTTGGGAGTTGTAGTTCACCTACATCCAGAGAGCACTGTGGACTCAAACAATGATGGATCTGGACCAACCTTGGCATGAATACTCAATATGCCCAAATGTAAACACAGAAGAGAATGACTGGCAAAAGCAGTGATACCTATGCCATAATAACCCAAGCCTCGCTTATTTGGTCTCCTCTCTTTTCTTCTCCAGGTTTCCCGCATAAAGCCCCTCCAAGTGCTCTCCACCCCGACCCGGCAGCTGAAAAACAAAGTCCCGGAATATCAGAAGCTTTTCCAGGTGAGGAATTCAATCCCATCATTCAGTTGCATTGTTCTATTTGCAAACATAACGTTGAGGAACAGGGAGGTCACCTGGGAAAGGTGTCCTTGACCAGCTTCACGGCACTTATAGAACCATAGAATCCTAGAGTTGGAAGAGACCTCATGGGCCATCCAGTCCAACCCCCTGCCAAGAAGAAGGAAAATTGCATTCAAAGCACCCCCAACAGATGGCCGTCCAGCCTCTGTTTAAAAGCTTCCAAAGAAGGAGCCTCCACCACACTTCCGGGGCAGAGAGTTCCACTGCTGAACGGCTCTCACAATCAGGAAGTTCTTCCTAATGTTCAGGTGGAATCTCCTTTTTTGTAATTTGAAGCCATTGCATTAAATCATCATCATTGCTTTTGATGATATTGTTGTCTATGTTTTTGGTTTTATTCCGCTGCAATATGTTGTCCGGGCTTGGCCCCATGTGAGCAGCTCTGAGTCCCCACTGGGGAGATGGTGGCAGGTCATAGAGTCATAGAATCAAAGAGTTGGAAGAGACCTCCTGGGCCATCCAGTCCAACCCCCTGCCAAGAAGCAGGAATATTGCATTCAAATCACCCCTGACAGATGGCCATCCAACCTCTGTTTAAAAGCTTCCAAAGAAGGAGCTTCCACACACTCCGGGGCAGACAGTTCCACTGCTGAACGGCTCTCACAGTCAGGAAGACTGTGGAAGGAAGACGCTCTGAGTCCCCACTAGGGAGATGGTGGCAGGGTATAAATAAAGATGATGATGATGACGATGATTATTGCGTCCTAGTCTCCAGGGCAGCAGAAAACAAGCTTGTTCCTCCCTCCCAATGACTTCCTCTCACATATTTATACATGGCCCTCATCATGTCTCCTCTCAGCCTTCTCTTCTTCAGGCTAAACATGCCCAGCTCTTTAAGCCGCTCCTCATAGGGCTTGTTCTCCAGACCCTTGATCATTTTAGTCGCCCTCCTCTGGACACATTCCAGCTTGTCAATATCTCTCTTGAATTGTGGTGCCCAGAATTGGACACAGTATTCCAGGTGTGGTCTAACCAAGGCAGAATAGAGCATGGGGAGCATGACTTCCCTAGATCTAGACATTAGGCTCCTATTGATGCAGGCCAAATTCCCATTGGCTTTTTTTGCTGCCACATCACATTGTTGGCTCATGTTTAATTTGTTGTCCACGAGGACCCCAAGATCTTTTTCACGCGTACTGCTCTCAAGCAAGGCGTCCCTCATTCTGTCTCTTTGCATTTCATTTTTTCTGCCTAAGTGGAGTATCTTGCATTTGTCTGGAACGATAAATAAATCTGGTGGTGCGTTTCTCTCCTAGGAGGACAATGGTCTGCCAGTGCATCTCAAAGGAGGTCTCAAAGACGTCCTGCTGTATCGCTTTACCATGTCGCTAAGCCTCTTTGGTAAGTTGGGATCCTCCAAAGAGCACTGAGAAGATAGAACAGGACTGGGCAAACTTTGGCCCTCCAGGTGTTCACCTACCTCCAGAGAGCACCTTGGGTTTGGGAGTTGTGGTTCACCTACATCCAGAGAGCACTGCGGACTCATACAATGATGGATCTGGACCAAACGTGGCATGAATACTCAATGCCCAAATGTGAACACTGGTGGAGTTTGAGGAAAATAGACCTTGACATTTGGGAGTTGTAGTTGCTGGGATTTATAGTTCACCTACAATCAAAGAGCATTCTGAACTCCACCAATGATGGAATTGAACCAAACTTGGCACACAGAACTCCCATGACCAACAGAAAATACTGGAAGGGTTTGTGGGCATTGACCTTGGGTTTGGGAGTTGTAGTTCACCTACATCCAGGGAGCACTGTGGACCAAACTTGGCACAAATACTCAATATGCCCAAATGTGAACACTGGTGGAGTTTGGGGGAAATGGACCTTAACATTTGGGAGTTGCAGTTGCAGGGATTTATAGTTCACCTACAGTCAAAGAGCATTCTGAACGCCACTAACGATGGAATTGAACCAAACTTGGCACACAGAACTCCCATGACCAACAAAAATACTGGATGGGTTTGGTGGGCATTGACCTGGGGTTTGGGAGTTGTAGTTCACCTACATCCAGAGAGCTCTGCAAACTCAAACAATGATGAATCTGGACCAAATTTGGCACAAATACTCAATATGCCCAGATGTGAACACTGGTGGAGTTTGAGGAAAATAAATCTTGACATTTGGGAGTTGTAGTTGCTGGGATTTATAGTTCACCTACAATCAAAGAGCATTCTGAACGCCACTAACGATGGAATTGAACCAAACTTGGCACACTGAACTCCCATGACCAACAGAAAATACTGGAAGGGTTTGGTGGGCATTGACCTTGGGTTTGGGAGTTGTAGTTCACCTACATCCAGGGAGCACTGTGGACCAAACTTGGCACAAATACTCAATATGCCCAAATGTGAACACTGGTGGAGTTTGGGGGAAATGGACCTTAACATTTGGGAGTTGCAGTTGCAGGGATTTATAGTTCACCTACAGTCAAAGAGCATTCTGAACGCCACTAACGATGGAATTGAACCAAACTTGGCACACAGAACTCCCATGACCAACAAAAATACTGGATGGGTTTGGTGGGCATTGACCTGGGGTTTGGGAGTTGTAGTTCACCTACATCCAGAGAGCTCTGCAAACTCAAACAATGATGAATCTGGACCAAATTTGGCACAAATACTCAATATGCCCAGATGTGAACACTGGTGGAGTTTGAGGAAAATAAATCTTGACATTTGGGAGTTGTAGTTGCTGGGATTTATAGTTCACCTACAATCAAAGAGCATTCTGAACACCACCAGTGACAGAATTGGGTCAAACTTCCCACACAGAACCACATGACGAAGAGAAATTACTGGAAGGGTTTGGTTGGCATTGTCCTTGGGTTTGGGAGTTGTAGTTCACCTACATCCAGGGAGCACTGTGGACCAAACTTGGCACAAATACTCAATATGCCCAAATGTGAACACTGGTGGAGTTTGAGGAAAATAGACCTTGACATTTGGGAGTTGTAGTTGCTGGGATTTATAGTTCACCTACAGTCAAAGAGCATTCTGAACGCCACTAACGATGGAATTGAACCAAACTTGGCACACAGAACTCTCAGCACCAACAGAAAATACTGGGAGGGTTTGGTGGGCATTGACCTTGGTTTTGGGAGTTGTAGTTCACCTATATCCAGGGAGCACTGTGGACCAAACTTGGCACAAATACTCAATATGCCCAGATGGGAACACTGATTGATTTTGTCATTTGAGAGTTGCAGTTGCTGGGATTTATAGTTCACCTACAATCAAAGAGCATTCTGAACTCCACACGATGGAATTGAACCAAACCTGGCACACAGAACTCCCATAACAACAGAAAATACTGGAAGGGTTTGGTGGGCATTGACCTTGGGTTTGGGAGTTGTAGTTCACCTACATCCAGGGAGCACTGTGGACCAAACTTGGCACAAATACTCAATATGCCCAAATGTGAACACTGGTGGAGTTTGGGGAAAATAGACCTTGACATTTGGGAGTTGTAGTTGCTGGGATTTATAGTTCATCTACAATCAAAGAACATTCTGAACCCCACCAATGATATAATTGGGCCAAACTTCTCACACAGAACCTCCCTGACCAAAAGAAAATACTGTGTTTTCTGATGGTCTTTGGCGACACCACTGACACCCCATGTGACATAGCGCAATCCACGATGCCTTGCAATTGAAATGTGGGATTCCCACATGAGTGTAAACCCTGGAATTCCACAAGATGGAGCCATAACAGTTCATTTGGATAAGGATGTGTTGTTTGTGTTTGCTTTGTGCAAAAGACCTCAAGATGTGTTATTAAAAGGACTTTTTAAGACTACAGCTACCCAGATCCCTCAGCCCAGTGTTTCTCAACCTGGGGGTCAGGACCCCTGAGGGGGAGGGGTCTAGTGGGGGTGTCAGAGGGGTCGCCAGAGACCATCAGAGACCATCAGAGACCATCATAGTATTTTCTCTTGGTCATGAGAGTTCTGTGTGCCAAGTTTGGTTCAATTCCATTGTTGATGGGGTTCAGAACGTTCTTTGATTGTTGGTGAACTATAAATCCCAGCAACTACAACTCCCAAATGTCAAGATTCTATTTCCCCAAACTCCGCCAGTGTTCACATTTGGGCATATTCAGTATCCGTGCCAAGTTTGGTCCAGATCCATTATTGTTTGAGTCCACAGTGCTCTCTGGATGTAGGTTAACTACAACTCCAAAACCCAAGGTCAATGCCCACCAAACCTTTCCAGTATTTTCTGTTGGTCATGGGAGTTCTGTGTGCCAAGTTTGGTTCAATTCCATCATTGGTGGGGTTCAGAACACTCTTTGATTGTTGGTGAACTATAAATCCCAGCAACTACAACTCCCAAATGTAAAGCTCTATTTTCCCCAAACTCCACCAGTGTTCACATCTGGGCATATTGGGCATTTGTGCCAAGTTTGGTCCAGAGCTATCATTGTTTGAGTCCACGTTGCTCTCTGGATGTAGGTGAACTACGATTCCCAAACTCAATGCCCACCAAACCTCTCCAGTATTTTCTGTTGGGAATTCTGTGTGCCGAGTTTGGTTCAATTCCATCGTTGGTGGTGTTCAGAGTTCTCTGTGATTGTAGGTGAACTATAAATCCCAGCAACTACAACTCCCAAATGACAAAATCAATCTCTCTCCCAACCTGACCAGTATTTAAATGTGGGTGTATCAGGTATTTTTGCCAAATTTGGTCCAGTGAATGAAAATACATTCTGCATATTTACATTACCAGCACAATACGAGGAAGTAAATTAAGGGGTTGCGGGATTAGGAAGGTTGAGAACCACTGCATTAATGTGTCCTTAACCAGAGACCTAATCTCATATCACGGGACAACAGTAGCAAAATGACAGTTGTGAAGTAGTAATGAAAATAATGTTATGGTTGGGYGTCACCYCAACAAGAGGAACTAAATTAAGGGGTTGCGGCATTAGGAAGGCTGAGAACCATTGCATTAACGTTTCCTTAGCTCTCTCCGACCAGAGTCCTAATCTCATATCACGGGGCAACKGTAGCAAAATGACAGTTGTGACGTAGCAATGAAAATAATGTTATGCTTGGGGGTCACCACAACATGAGGGACTCTATTAAGGGGTTGCAGCATTAGGAAGGTTGAGAACCACTGCATTAACGTTTCCTTAGCTCTCTCCGACCAGAGTCCTAATCTCATATCACGGGACAACAGTAGCAAAARGACAGTTGTGACGTAGCAACGAAAATAATGTTATGGTTGGGGGTCACCACAACATGAGGAACTGTATTAAGGGGTCAGGGCATTAGGAAGGTTGAGAACCATTGCATTAATGTTTCCTTAGCTCTCTCCAACCAGAGTCCTAATCACATATCACGGGACAACAGCATTAGGAAGGTTGAGAAACACTGAGCAGGGGGGAAATAATGTAGATCAATGAGAATGACATTTTCCTGCATTTTTGCTCCATAGGTGTTGCTTATTCTCTCTACGAACTATTCAAGGCTGCCAAACCCAAGAAGAACAAGTGAGGAGGATGAAGCAGGAAAAGAGGGGTAATTGCAAATACGGACGCCCCTCGTCTGCATTGGGTTTATCCCCCTTTTTTAGAGGTTTGCAACAAAAGGGAGAGGGAAATTCATCTTTGTTGGGATTTGAGTCCACATGAATGTAGTGTTTGGAGGCGCAAAATAAACCGTCGAAAGAAGAAAAAAATAAATAATAATCCACATCAGTCTGCTTTTAGAAATGCACACCTCGTTTTAATCACCACACGTTTCAAAAAGTCGTAACCGACGAAAACAGGAACGTCAAAAATATCACAGTGACGAGTTGGATCGAAGCCAGGCCCCAGGGTGTTGACATGTAGATTTGTGAACTGCCTTCTGTTGGATTCAGACCCTTTCTTGCATCTCAGGGAGCGTCTATACCAGGCATGGGCCAAATTGGGCCCTCCAGGTGTTTTGGACTCCAACTCCCACCATTCCTAACAGCCTTGGATCCCTTCCTTTTCCCCCTCAGCCACTTAAGCCTGGGCCTCTGAGCATGGGCAGAGTGCAATTTGTGACTCTTGGAGGAAAGAGAGCCTCTGAGCATGAGCAGAGTGCACTTTTTGGGTTTGGGGGAAAGAGAGCCTCTGAGCATGAGCAGAGTGCAATTAGTGGATCTTGGAAGAAAGAGGCCTCTGAGCATGAGCAGAGTGCAATTAGTGGATCTTGGAAGAAAGAGAGCCTCTGAGCATGAGCAGAGTGCAATTAGTGGATCTTGGAAGAAAGAGGGCCTCTGAGCATGAGCAGAGTGCAATTAGTGGATCTTGGAAGAAAGAGAGCCTCTGAGCATGAGCAGAGTGCAATTAGTGGATCTTGGAAGAAAGAGAGCCTCTGAGCATGAGCAGAGTGCAATTAGTGGATCTTGGAAGAAAGAGGGCCTCTGAGCATGAGCAGAGTGCAATTAGTGGATCTTGGAAGAAAGAGAGCCTCTGAGCATGAGCAGAGTGCAATTTGTGGATCTTGGAGGAAAGAGGGCCTCTGAGCATGAGCAGAGTGCAATTTGTGGATCTTGGAGGAAAGAGGGCCTCTGAGCATGAGCAGAGTGCAATTTGTGACTCTTGGAGGAAAGAGAGCCTCTGAGCATGGGCAGAGTGCAGTTTGTGGATCTAGGAGGAAAGAGGGCCTCTGAGCATGAGCAGAGTGCAATTTGTGAGTCTTGGAAGAAAGAGGGCCTCTGAGCATGAGAAGAGTGTAATTTTGGACCTTGGAGGTGGGACTCAAGTCTAGATGACAACATTTGTTCATGTTTCATATACACCTTCTGCACAAGGCAATTATATATATTTCTGACACAATGTCAGGAGGAAAGAGGGCCTTTGAGCATGGCCAGAGTGCAATTTGTGGATCTTGGAGGAAAGAGGGCCTTTGAGCATGGCAGAGTGCAATTTGGGGATCTTGGCGGAAAGAGGGCCTCTGAGCATGAGCAGAGTGCAATTTGTGGCTCTTGGAAGTGGGACTCAAGCCTACATGACAACATTTGTTCATGTTTGATATGCACTTTCTGCACAAGGCAATTATATATATTTCTGACACAATGCCAGGAGGAAAGAGGGCCTCTGAGCATGAGCAGAGTGCAATTAGTGGATCTTGGAGAAGGGACTCTGAGCATGAGCAGAGTGCAATTTGTGGATCTTGGAGGTGGGACTCAAGCCTAGATGACAACATTTGTTCATGTTTCCTATACACCTTCCGCACAAGGCAATTATATATATTTCTGACACAATGTCAGGAGGAAAGAGGGCCTCTGAGCATGGGCAGAGTGCAATTTGGGGATCTTGGCGGAAAGAGGGCCTCTGAGCATGAGCAGAGTGCAATTTGTGGCTCTTGGAAGTGGGACTCAAGCCTACATGACAATATTTGTTCATGTTTGATATGCACTTTCTGCACAAGGCAATTATATATATTTCTGACACAATGCCAGGAGGAAAGAGGGCCTCTGAGCATGAGCAGAGTGCAATTAGTGGATCTTGGAGAAAAGAGGGTCTCTGAGCATGAGCAGAGTGCAATTTGTGGATCTTGGAGAAAAGAGGGTCTCTGAGCATGAGCAGAGTGCAATTACTGGAGCTTGGAGATGGGACTCAAGCCTAGATGACCACATTTGTTCATGTTTCCTATACACCTTCTGCACAAGGCAATTATATATATTCCTGACACAATGCCAGGAGGAAAGAGGGTCTCTGAGCATGGGCAGAGTGCAATTTGTGGATCTTGGAAGTGGGACTCAAGCCTAGGTGACAACATTTGTTCATGTTTTATATACACTCTGGGCAAACTTTGGAATGGTGGGAATTGAAGTCCAAAACACCTGGAGGGCCCAAGTTCCAAGATCCACAAATTGCACTCTGCCCATGCTCAGAGACTCATACTTAAGCAGCTTAGGGGGGAAAGGAAAGGGCCTGATGCTGTTAGGAATGGAGAGAGTTGGAGTCCAAAACACCTGGAGGACCCAAGTTGTCCCATGCCTGGTCTACACTGTGGAATTAACACGGTTTGACACCATTTGAACTGAACACGGCTCAAGGCTATTGAGTTGGAGCTATACACAATCGGTAGCCTTCTCTGTTCAAAAGTGCTGGTGCCTCCCCAAACTACAAATCTAGTATTCCATACCAATGAGTTGTGGTAGTTAAAGTGATATCAAACTGAATTGATTCTGCAATGTAGACAAACCGTGCCCTAGCCCTGTCTGCTCTGACTGGCAGATGCTGTCAAAAACGTGGGATGCTGAATTTGTTGATGCTCAGAAGTCGCCATCTGTCTCTTTACTATCTTCTCCCAAATCTGTAACCCTCAAAGCTCAAATTCATTGGGTTGCTGTGAGTTTTCCGGGCTGTCGGGCCATGTTCCAGAAGCATTCTCTCCTGATGTTTCACCCACATCTGTGGCAGGTATATTCAGAGGTAGTGAGGTCTGCTGGAAACTAGGAAAATTGGGTTTATATATCTGTGGAATAATGTCCAGGGTGGGAGAAAGAACTCTTGTCTGGGTTGTTGTAGGTTTTTCGGGTTATATGGCCATGTCCTAGAGGCATTCTCTCCTGACGTTTCGCCTGCATCTATGGCAAGCATCCTTAGACCTCACTACCTCTGAGGATGCCTGCCATAGATGTGGGTGAAACGTCAGGAGAGAATGCCTCTAGAATATGACCATATAGCCTGAAAAACCTACAACAACCCAGACAAGAGTTCTTTCTTTCTCCCACCAAGATATATAAACCTTACTTGCCTAGTTTCCAACAGACCTCACAACCTCTGAGGATGTCTGCCACAGATGTGGGTGAAACATCAGGAGAGAATGCCTCTAGAACATGGCCTTATAGCCCGAAAAACCTACAATGACCCAGACAAGAGTTCTTTCTCCCACCCTGGACATTATTCCACAGATATATAAACCCCAGTTGCCTAGTTTCCAATAGACCTCACAATCTCTGAGGATGCCTGCCATAGATGTAGGCAAAACGTCAGGAGAAAATGCTTCTGGAACATGGCCAGACAGTTTGAAAAACTCACAGCAACCTAGTGATTCCGGCCATCAAAGCCTTCGACAACACACTGTCAGATCCATCTATCTCTTACTACTTTTGCAACTGGAGATGTCAAAAACAACAAAACAGTTTTTCATTCGGTTGTTGTAGATTTTTCCGGGCTATATGGCCATGTTCTAGAGGCATTCTCTCCTGACGTTTCGCCTGCATCTATGGCAAGCATCCTCAGAGGTAGTGAGGTCTACCTCTGAGAATGCTTGCCATAGATGCAAGCGAAAAACTATAGTATTTCATTCTATAGTGTGGGGGCTGTTTTGGTTTGTTTTCGCCTTTGGGACAGTGGGAAAAACCACACCAGTTTCCAGAAACAAAACTGCGCAGGGAGGAAATTAACACAACATTCAAAACTGGCTGAAAGTTTCCGTTTTTAGCCACTCGAGTTTCTTTTCCTGCTGCTTCACGTTTAGTTTGCACAACATTCAAACTGGCAAAGACAGCGAATGGGGAAAAACAACAACATTGGAGTATAGGGTTGTTGTAGGTTTTTTTGGCCTATATGGCCATGGTCTAGAGGCATTCTCTCCTGACGTTTCGCCTGCATCTATGGCAAGCATCCTCAGAGGTAGTGAGGTCTGTTGGAAATAGGAAAATGGGTTTATATATCTGTGGAAGCACCAGGGTGGGACAAAGGACTCTTGTCTTCTGGAGCTAGGTGTGAATGTTTCAACTGACCACCTTGATTAGCATTTGATTGCCTGGCAGTGCCTGGAGCAATCTTTTGTTGAGAGGTGATTAGATGTCCTCGTTTGTTCCCTCTCTGTTGTGTAGAGGTGTCTGCGCCCTATACTACTGGAGAAATTGATTAGCATTTGATTGCTGGCAGTGCCTGGAGCAATCTTATGTTGAGAGGTACTTAGATGTCCTTGTTTGTTTCCTCTCTCAACCTGAGAAGTCAGCCATAGCAGAGCACCTGATGAACCAACCTGGACACAGCATATTATTTGAGAACACAGAAATGCTGGACCACTCTCACAACCACCATGTCAGACTACACAGAGAAGCCATTGAAATCCACAAGCATGTGGACAATTTCAACAGAAAGGAGGAAACCATGAAAATGAATACAATCTGGCTACCAGTATTAAAAAACTCTAAAATTACAACAGCAAAAACAACAGAGAGGAAACAATCAGGGACATCTAATCACCTCTCAACAAAATATTGCTCCAGGCACTGCCAGCAATCAAATGCTAATCAAGGTGATCAGTTGAAACATTCACAGCTAGCTCCAGCAGACAAGAGTCCTTTGTCCCACCCTGGTCATTCCACAGATATATAAACCCTTTTTCCTAGTTCCAACAGACCTCACAACTTCTGAGGATGCTTGCCATAGATGCAGGCGAAACGTCAGGAGAAAATGCCTTTAGAACATGGCCATATAGCCCAAAAAAACCTACAACAACCCAGTGATTCCGGCCACGAAAGCCTTCGACAATACATTGGAGTATAGGTTGTTTTATAGCAAAGCTGCGCAGGTTTCTCGCTCTTAGTGCAGTTTCCCAAACTCCTACAATTGTGTGCAATGGCTGCAATAATTTTGTGCATGGGACCATGTTTATGCACACTCAATCGTCGGGAAGGAAAGGCATCACTAAATCATATTGGGGAGTATTTTTTTTGGATCCAAGCCCTTTTGTTTTCCAACACACCAACTGACATCAATCAGATCCAAACCAAAGTGCAAATAATTCCCAGGACCAACCCAGAATACCCTTTTGCGTACCCAAACCGTCGGCTCGCTATTGGTAAAGGCTGGTACATAAGGAAACCCCAAATGGGAAAAAGGACATCGCTTGCCACGCGTACGGCACAAAGTGTTTCCCGTCCTCGCTTTAGCAACCGTAAACAGACACCGGGGAACTTGATCTCAAATGCTCTGGTCTGAATCGGTCCATTCTGGGGTTAGGATGGAAAAAGCTGGGTTGTGAATATCTCGAAGGGCCGTTTTGGGGGCGCAAGGCGTAAATGACGGCAGGAGGGCCATTCAGGCTTTCTTCAGCATTTTGGTGGTTTGGTTGTTGGCCTCGTTGATGCTGATCACATTGGCGATGGCCTGCGAAGAAAGGAAACGCAGAAGATTATACCACACTTAGGCAGAAACAAAACGAAATGCAAAGATACAGAATGGGGGGCGCATGTCTCGAGAGCAGCACGTGTGAAAAAGATCTTGGGGTCCTTGTGGACAACGGGTTAAACATGAGCCAGGAATGTGATGCAGCGGCAAACAAAGCCAATGGGAGTGTTTGAGTGTTTGTATGTATTCCAAAGTTCCATGCATTTTGCAATAAGGTGGCTTCCCTTGGTTTGCAATCATAGGGCCAATGACCCATCCGTTATCATTATGTTCTTTAGTTCCGCCCCTTTTTTTTGGGTTAAAGAGGGAAAAAGGGGACCTCTAGTTCATTTCACACAGAGAAGCCTTTCGTACAGGACGTGAATCAGTCCCACCTCGGCGTCTCCTTACTAAAATCGTTGTCCAATTGCATAGTTGGTCGTTCCATATATTCGTTTCCGTCTAATTATGCTCCAATAGTAAAAGCTTGCTCAAAGAGCCAGGTCTTAACCATTTTGTGGAATGTTAGAAGGGAGGGAGCCAATCTTATATCCCTAGGAAGGGCATTCCATAGCTGAGGGGCCACCACTGAGAAGGCCCTTCCTCTCGTCCCCGCCAAACGCATCCGTGAGGAAGGCAGGATCGAGAGTAGGGCCTCCCCAGGCGATCTTAAAGTCCTAGATGATTCATAAGGAGAGATACGTTCAGATAGGTGGCTTACCTATCAATACCTAAACAATGGCTTCAAACTACAAGAAAGGAGATTTCACCCAAATATTAGGAAGAACTTCCTGACTGTGAGAGCTGTTCAGCAGTGGAACTCTCTGCTCCGGAGTGTGGTGGAGACTCCTTCTATGGAGACTTTTAAACAGAGGCTGGATGGCCATCTGTTTGGGGTGCTTTGAATGCGATTTTCCTGCTTCTTGGCCAAATGGGGTTGGATTGGATGGCCCACGAGGTCTCTTCCAACTCTATGAGTCAATGATGCTACTGTTGCACCTCAGCCGGAGTTCACCTTGCACACAGCACTCACCAAGAAACCAAACATGGTGGTAAACAGTTTATTGATAAAAACACATATAAGAAGGGCCAAAGGTACCTTAAGCAAAAAGGAAGCAAGTATCAAAGGCAATAGGTAAATCCAGAAAACAATGGTTAAAACATGAACATTAATCCAGGAAACAAGGTGCAAAACATGGACATGAATCCAAAGGTAAGTCCATAAAACAAGGAGCCAAATTTGAGCATGAATCTTGGGTGTAGTTATAAGGGTTCGGTTTTTGTTTTTGTTTTGTATAGTTTATGGGTAAGAACCATAAGTAGCCCAATAGCCAGATCCATCAGCTGCCTTGGAGCCAGAGCCATTTGGAAGTAGTGGCCAGAGGAGCTAGAAAGCTGAACACATTGCACATTAGAAGTCGATGCTAGAAGTTGGCGTTACGAGTTGAAGAAACCCTGTCACAAGTGCATGGAAGACAAGAAAGGACACAGAAGGAAGGCAGAGAGGGAGGTGCATCAAGCCTCCAACTTTTCCTACAAATTTTAGTTGTTAGCCCTGGGAAGAGGTAGACTATTGACTTTTATTACCTTACTAGCTGCACCCAGTCACGCGTTGCTGTAGTCTTCAGAAAACAGAAAATTTCCAGACACGGAACAATCTGGGCTAGGGAACTCCTCCCACCAAAGGTTTACTGTTGGCTTTAAGGTGCAAGGCTATTCAAAGGTAATCCAGGTGGGCAATTGCAACATTCACACTTGGCTCAAGGAGAAATTCGAGGAGGTCGGGGTCAGGGAGTCATTTTCATGCATGCGCTGTAATCCCTTTTTGGTTTTTAAGTCCTTTCTGCTGTGTGTGTGTTTTTTTGTTTTTATGAGTGATAGTCACTCGTTGGCCTGAGAGGTGTCTTGTGTCCAAATTTGGTGTCAATTCGTCCAGTGGTTTTTGAGTTATGCTAATCCCACAAACTAACATTCCATTTTTATTTATATAGACTAGCTTGGGGACCTGGCGCTGCCCGGGTTATTGTAGAAAGTGGGTAATGGCGGTTCTGTATGCCAATTTTGGTCTGTATTGGTCATTGGATGACGGTTGCATTGTTTTCAGTAAGTGAGTGAAGGTACTTGAAGTCGCATTGTCCATGGTCAACCCTCCTCCAAACAGCAGCAGGATATAGAGAGAGTCATGGGGGCTCTGTGTGCCAAGTTTGGTCTTTATCAGTCATTGGTTCAGGGTCGCAGTGGTTTCAGTAAGTGAGAATATGTACTGCAAGTCCCATCATCCATGGTCAACCCTCCTCCAAACAGCATCGGTATGTAGAGTGGGTTATGGGGGCTCTGTGTGCCAAGTTTGGTCTTGATTGGACATTAGATGAGGACTTTGTCCACCCAGACTGCAAGTCCCATAATCCATGGTTTATCCCTGGCTAAAAACACACCAGGACGTAAAGTGGGTCATGAGAGGTCTATGTGCCAAGTTTGGTTCTGATCAGACATTGGATGAGGTTAACAGCGGTCTCAGAATGTGAGTGATGGTACTGCAAGTCCCATCATCCAAAGTCGATCCTCCTTCAAACTGCAGCAGGATGCAGAGTGGGTCATGGGGGCTCTGTGTGCCAAGTTTGATCTTGATCAGACATTAGATGAGGGTTGCAGCCGTCTTGGGAAGAGAGTGGAGGTACTTCAAGTCCCATCATCCATGGTCTGTCCTCCTCAAAACTGCACCAGGATGTAGAGTGGGTCATGGGGACTCTGTGTGCCAAGTTTGGTCTTTATCGGTAATTGGATGAGCGTTGCAGTGGTATGAAGAATTAAGCAATGGTACTGCAAGTCCCATAATCCACGGTCCATCCCCGGCCAAACCACACAGGACGTAAAGTGGGTCATGAGAGGTCTCTGTGCGAAGTTTGGTCCTGATCAGTCATTGGATAAGGTTAACAGCGGTCTCAGAATGTGAGTAGTGGTACTGCAAGTCCCATCATCCATGGTTCATTCCTCCAAACTGCAGTAGGATGTAGAGTGGGTGATGGGGGCTCTGTGTGCCTATTTCGGGCTGTATTGGGAATTTTCTGACAGAGCCCCTAGCCTTTTCCTTTCCTCTCTTTGTCATCTCGGAATCTTGGAATTGAGGCTGGCCAATCAGAAACCATATGCAAATTTCCTTCTCATGTCCCCGTTTCTGTCATGAACTCTTTTCTCCACCAGGGGCTCCTATTGATGCTGGCCAATCAGAGACCATATGCAAATAGCACCACAACAGCAGCCAATCAGAATGCTGGCACATACTCCTCCCCCCACACCGCCACACATCTGCCTTTTATTACTGACCAGCTTGGGGACCCGGCGTGCTGCCCGGGTTATTAGAGAAAGGGGTAATGGCGGTTCTGTATGGCAAGTTTGGCCCAGGTCTGGAGTGTCGCTGTTGTTTCAGGAAGTGAGTGAAGGTACAAGTCCCATCATCCATGCCCCCCCTCCTCAAAACAGCAGCAGGATGTAGAGTGGGTCAGGGGGCTCTGTGTGCCAAGTTTGGTTATCAGTCATTAGATGAGGGTGGCAGTGGTGTCAGTAAGTGAGTGAAGGTACTGCAAGTCCCATCGTCCAAAGTCCATCCTCTTTCAAAGAGCAGCAGACTGTAGAGTGGATCATGGGGGCTTTATGTGCCAAGTTTGGTCTTGATTGGTCATTAGAAGAGGATTGCAGCAATCTTTGGAAGGGAATGGAGGTACTTGAAATCCCATCATCCATGGTCTGTCCTCCTCCAAACTGCACCAGGATGTAGAGTGGGTCATTGGAGCTCCATGTGCCAAGTTTAGTCTTGATTAGTCATTGGCGAGGGTCTCAGTCGTCTCAGGAAGTGAGTGAAGTGACTGCAAGTCCCATCATCCATTGTCAAATTCTTCCAAACCGCACCAGGATGTAGAGTGGGTCATGCGGGCTCTCTGTGTAAATTGTGGTCCTGATCCATCATTGTTGGCAGTTGTAATGGTCTTAGGAAGGGAGTGCAGGTATTGCAAGTCCCATCGTCCATGGTGCATCCTCCTCCAAACTGCACCTGGATGTAGAGTGCGTCATGGAGACTCAGTGTGCCAAGTTTGGTCTTTATCGGTAATTGGATGAGCGTTGCTGTGGTCTCAGGAATTGCGCAAAAGTACTGCAAGTCCCATAATCCATGGTCTATCCCCAGACAAACACACACCAGGATGTAAAGTGGGTCATGAGAGGTCTATGTGCCAAGTTTGGTCCTGATCAGACATTGGATGAGTTTAACAGCGGTCTCAGAATGTGAGTGATGGTACTGCAAGTCCCATCATCCAAAGTCGATCCTCCTTCAAACTGCAGCAGGATGCAGAGTGGGTCATGGGGGCTCTGTGTGCCAAGTTTGATCTTGATCCGACATTAGATGAGGGTTGCAGCCGTCTTGGGAAGAGAGTGGAGGTACTTCAAGTCCCATCATCCATGGTCTGTCCTCCTCAAAAGTGCACCAGGATGTAGAGTGGGTCATGGGGACTCTGTGTGCCAAGTTTGGTCTTTATCGGTAATTGGATGAGCGTTGCAGTGGTATGAAGAATTAAGCAATGGTACTGCAAGTCCCATAATCCACGGTCCATCCCCGGCCAAACCACATCAGGACGTAAAGTGGGTCATGAGAGGTCTCTGTGCGAAGTTTGGTCCTGATCAGTCATTGGATAAGGTTAACAGCGGTCTCAGAATGTGAGTGGTGGTACTGCAAGTCCCATCATCCATGGTTCATACTCCTCCAAACTGCAGTAGGATGTCGAGTAGGTTATGAGGGCTCTGTGTGCCTATTTCGGGCTGTATTGGGAGTGTTCTGACCCAGCCCCCGGCCTTTCCTTTCCTCTCTTTCTCATCTCGGAATGTTGGATTTGAGGCTGGCCAATCAGAGACCATATGCAAATTTCCTTCTGTCATGCCCCGTTTCTGCCATGAACCCTCTTCTCCACCAGGGGCTCCTATTGAAGCTGGCCAATCAGAGACCATATGCAAATAGCACCACAGCGGCAGCCAATCAGAACGCTGCCACATACACCGCCCTATGTCCTTCCTCTGTCCGATACAAACACTCTTCTTTATTATATACTAGCTTGGGGACCCGGCGTTGCCCGGGTTATTAGAGAAAGTGGGTAATGGCGGTTCTGTATGGCAAGTTTGGTCTTTATTGGTCTTTGGATAACGGCTGCATTATTTTCAGGAAGTGAGTGAAGGTACATGAAGTCCCATCATCCATAGCCCATCCTCCTACAAACAGCAGCAGGATATAGAGTGGGTCATGGGGGCTCTGTGTGCCAAGTTTGGTATGTATCAGTCATTAGATGAGGGTGGCAGTGGTGTCAGTAAGTGAGTGAAGGTACTGCAAGTCCCATCATCCAAAGTCCATCCTCTTTCAAAGAGCAGCAGAATGTAGAGTGGATCATGGGGGCTTTATGTGCCAAGTTTGGTCTTGATTGGTCATTAGAAGAGGATTGCAGCAATCTTTGGAAGGGAATGGAGGTACTTGAAATCCCATCATCCATGGTCTGTCCTCCTCCAAACTGCACCAGGATGTAGAGTGGGTCATTGGAGCTCCATGTGCCAAGTTTAGTCTTGATTAGTCATTGGCGAGGGTCTCAGTCGTCTCAGGAAGTGAGTGAAGTGACTGCAAGTCCCATCATCCATTGTCAAATTCTTCCAAACCGCACCAGGATGTAGAGTGGGTCATGCTGGGTCTCTGTGTAAATTGTGTCCTGATCCATCATCGTTGGCAGTTGTAATGGTCTTCGGAAGGGAGTGCAGGTATTGCAAGTCCCATCGTCCATGGTGCATCCTCCAAACTGCATCAGGATGTAGAGTGCGTCATGCAGACTCAGTGTGCCAAGTTTGGTCTTTTTCGGTAATTGGATGAGGGTTGCACTGGTCTCAGGAATTGAGCAAAGGTACTGCAAGTCCCATAATCCATGGTCCATCCCCGGCCAAACACACACCAGGACGTAAAGTGGGTCATGAGAGGTCTATGTGCCAAGTTTGGTCCTGATCAGTCATTGGATAAGGTTAACAGCGGTATCAGAATGTGAGTGGTGGTACTGCAAGTCCCATCATCCATGGTTCATCCTCCTCCAAACTGCAGTAGGATGTCGAGTGGGTGATGGGGGCTCTGTGTGCCTATTTCGGTCTGTATTGGGAGTGTTCTGACCCAGGCCCCGGCCTTTCCTTTCCTCTCTTTGTCATCTCGGAATGTTGGATTTGAGGCTGGCCAATCAGAGACCATATGCAAATTTCCTTCTGTCATGCCCCGTTTCTGCCATGAACCCTCTTCTCCACCAGGGGCTCCTATTGAAGCTGGCCAATCAGAGACCATATGCAAATAGCACCACAGCGGCAGCCAATCAGAACGCTGCCACATACACCGCCCTCCACAATTCCTCTGTCCGATACAAACACTCTTCTTTATTATATATATAGATATAGATAGATATAGATATAGATAGATATAGATAGATATAGATATAGATATAGATATAGATATAGATATAGATATAGATATAGATAGATATAGATACAGAAGATATAGATAGATATAGATATAGACTAGCTGTACCTGCCACGCGTTGCTGTGGCGAACCTTCCCTCTCTCTTTCTCTCCTTTTCTTTCTCTCTCTCCTTTCTCTCATTTCTTCCTTCTCTACTTCCTTCCTTTCTTTCTTCCTTCCTTCCTTCCCTTCCTTTCCTTCTTCATCATCTCTTCACTCTTTGGTTCCATCCGTCCTTCTCTCTTTAAATACTCTTCCCTTACTGATGTGTTGTTGGGCTTGACCTCATGTAAGCTGCCCCAAGTCCCCTTGGGGAGATTGTGGAGGGGTATAATTAATTAATCAATTAATTAATTAATTATTATTATTATTATTATTATTATTATTATTATTATTTCATAGATATTCTTTCCTTCCTTCCTCTTCCTTCCTTCCTTCCTCTTCCTTCCTTATTTCCTCTTCCTTCCTTCCTTCCTTCCTTCCTTTCCACTTTCTCTCTCTCTCTATTCCTTTCTTCCTTTCTTTTATTCTTTCTCCTTCCTCTTCCTTTCTTTCTCTACCTTCCTTCCTTCTGTCCTTCCTCTTCCTTTCCTTCTTTCTCTATCTCTTTCCTTCCTTCTTCCCTTCTTTCCCTTCTCACTTTCTCTCCTTCTTCTCTTTCTCTTCCTTCCTTCCTCTTCTCCTTCTCTTTCCCTTCCTCTCCTTTCTCTTCTTCCTCCTCCTTCCTTCCTCCTTCTTTCCTTTCCTTCCCTCTTTCTCCTCTCTCCCTTCCTTCTTTTCCTTCCTTCTCCCTTCCTTCTCCTCTTCCTTCCTCCTTCTTCCTCTTTGCTCTCTCCTTCTCTCTCTTTCCCTCCTTCCTTCCCTCCTCTTTCTCTCTTCTTCCCTTCCTCTCTTTCCTTCCTTCCCTCTTTTTCTTTTTTTTTTTTCTTCTTTTTCTCTTCCTCTTCCTCCATCTTCCCCCTTTTTCTTTCCTCCCTTATTTCCCATGCTCCTTTTCTGCCTCTTATTTCCGTTCCTTGTTCTTCGCTTTCACTCTGCTCTGCTAAGGTCTTGCAGGCTCAGATCGATGGCTTCCTTGATTGAAATGTCTGCCTCCCTCTTTTCCTTCCTTCCATCTCCTTTTCCCTTCTCCTTCTCTCCTTCTCTCTCTACTTCCTTCCTTCCTTCTCTTCCTTCCTTCATTCTTTCCTTCCCTTCCTTCCCCTTTTCTCCTCCTTCTTTCTCTTCCCTTCCTCCTTCCTTCCCTCTTTCTCTTCTTCTTTCCTCCTTCTCCTTCCTTCCCTCTTTCCTTCCTTTCCCTTTCCTTCCCTTCTCTTCCTCTTCCTTCCTCTCTTCTTCCTTCCTCTTTTCCTCCTTCCTTCCTCTCTTCCCTCCTTCCTTCCTCCCTCTTCTCTCTTTTTCTTCTTCCTTCTTTTTTTCTTTCCTTCCCTTCTTCCTTCCTTCTCGACCTCTTTCCTGCGTACCCCCTTTTTCTTTCCCTCCCTTATTCTCTCATTCCTTCCTTCTCTACCTCTTTCTTTCCTTGCTTGCTTCCCTGCTTTTTTCCTTCATTCCTTCTTTCCTTTCCTCTTTCCTTCTTTGCCTCTTTCCCTCCCTCCTTCTCTCCTTCCTTCCCCCTTTACCGGTTCGTAAGCCAGGCATCTGCATCTGGTTTGTCATTTAGCTTTTGCGGGTTTTTAAGTCCTTTCTGCTGCTAATGGGTGATGGTCACTCGTTGGCCTGAGAGGTGTCTTGTGGCCAAATTTGGTGTCAATTTGTCCAGTGGTCTTTGAGTTTTGTTAATCCCACAAACAAACATTACATTTTTATGTATATAGATTTAATTCTATGTTAACTATTCACCTGTGTAAATCCACCCCCATTCCTGGCGAGATTAGAGCGCCTCCAAGAATTCACTCGGGGGACAGAACCATTTCCATGAGACGAAGTTGGCTTGACAACAAATAGCAACCACAAAGATCTTCCCCTTCCCAGCATCGCCTACCTTTTCTTTAATGCTCTCCACTTGCTTGCTCTGGACGTCAATTTCGTTGCTCATGTCCACCGCCATGCTCCGCAGGTTGCTCAGCATGCTGTCCACCTGGCTGAGGTTCTGCTCCATCTCTTCCTCCACGTCGTCTTTCGTTATTCTGGAGGGAAAAGTGCAAAACAAAATAGAGTCGCCGATGCCAGGGTTGGACTGGGCAGGGGGTTGGACTGGATGGCCCACGAGGTCTCTTCCAACTCTATGATTCGAAGGTGTGCCGTCTTCCCAAGATGATTTTCTGTACTTTCAAGACAGTATCCACACCGTGCGCTAGCTTCCATAAGAGTGCCACCACAAACCAATAAAATTACTAATAGTTTCCTGGAACCTGAAAACACCTCCAAGAAAAACACCCCATTCTCTCTTTGCACAAGTAAAAAAAAGATATTTACCACACTTACACGGAATTAATGACGTGGTAGGGGAACAAGTTGTCTTTGCTGCAAGAGTCCGATTATGACAGTCAAGATCCAAAATTCTGCTCTTGACTGACTTGCAGACTTCCACGTTTGTGCTTCCAAAGACAGAGCAATTGCTTAAATCTTGTCATATGTTCTGCAGTTGATGGTGATGGAAGGGTTAAAGTGAGTATTAGTTCTAAGGGTTTGGTAATCTGTAAGTGGGAGTTCATGGGTGAAAGCAATTAGGGGTAGAGGAGTGCAGGAGATGGGTTGCAGCTGGGTGTTGCTGGATTTAAGGAGCTAACCTTGAGACTCATCTTTAGGAGAAAGTATCTGTTGCATTTTGGTGGTGGATGCTGCTGGTTTTTCCCCAAGGTTTGTTGGATTTTTGGTATCCTGACCTGTCTCCTGTAATCTTGGAACTCTGGAACCTTGAACCTTTGGACTGGCTTTTGACTACGGTATAGACTCTTGGTCCCTGGACTTTGTTTATTGAACTCTCGGCATTTGACCACTGGACTGGACCCTTTTGACTACGGAGTTGTTTTTGCTATCAGTTTTTGTTTATTCTGTGGCTGGGTGCTATCTTTATGTTTTATGTTTTGGTCTATTAAAACAGCCAGCAAGTAAGTGCTGTTTTAATTAAACTGTTTGATAAAACTGGGAGTTTGATTCATCTCTACCTAAAATAGGCAGAGCCTTGGCAACGTGACAAATCTTTCTGATAATCAAAGAATACCATTCCGAAAAAAATTGAGAGAGGGAATATAGCTGTTGGGGTCTGCTTGAAAATGTGTGTGCCGCCAGAACTGAATAGCTCTCATCCATGCCAAGGTTTCAAGTGTGGTTTGACCCGTCTCAATGCATGGTGTGGCATAAAAACACACAGATCTACGGAGTTCCATTGGTTTCTGGAGAAACTTTGAATGTAGTGTATTCAATGTTTTATTGATTATGGAATTCCAAATAGGGGAGACAAATACTAGCAGAGGACCAGCCCTAGCCTCAAAATCTTTTAGGGTAGAAGGGATATTCTGGTTACCCATACTTTAGGAAAAATGATATATTGCTGCAATGTTGGTACAGTAGAGTCTTGCTTATCTGACTTTCACTTATCCAACATTCCATCTTATCCGAAGCTCTTATCCAACGCCCTCCTTTTCCTCCAGCATTTCTCCTTCAATTTAAGGACCACTCCCCAACTCCCTCTCCATTCCCAATAAGGCAAAAAAGGCAAGACAAGGAGGGAGGAAAGGAGGAAAAGAGGCAGGACTGGAAGCAGAAGTGTCCTCCCTCCTTCCCTCTGTGATTTCCGGGCACTTCCTGCTGGGCTGCTCCAGCCCTGAGGCCTTACCTTGCCTTAAGCCTTTGAGTCCCTGTTGTTAGTATTCTTGGTGTCTAGTGCCGTGTCGCACAATAGATAGGAGACTCCGTATTATCCAACATTTTTGCTGATCTGATGTTCTGCTAGCCCGTTTATGTCAGATAAGCGAGACTCTACTATATGTGCAAAAGCCATTAGTGCTTCCTTCTGTGAGAGCCACGGCAGGTTATATCTGTAGCAAATATTTTTATTTAGCGTGTCAGGAGCAACCAGACATTTGTATTACATTTTAAACAAAAGCAAACAAACAAACAGACAAAACACAAAGTTTGCAAGCTTGGTAGTGGATTAAATGTCCTTTGAGCAGTATCTGGCCACTTGGAGTGCCTCTGGTGTTGCTGCAAGGAGGTCCTCCATGGTGCATGTGGCAGGGCTCAGGGTGCATTGCAGCAGGTGGTCTGTGCTTGGCTCTTCTCTACACTCGCATGTCGTGGATTCCACTTTGTGGCCCCATTTCTTAAGATTGGCTCTGCATCTCATGGTGCCCGAGCACAGTCTGTTCAGCGCCTTCCAAGTCGCCCAGTTTTCTGTGTGCCCAGGGGGGAGTCTCTAGTTTGGTATCAGCCATTGATTTGGGTTCTGGGTTTGAGCCTGCCACTTTTGGACTCTTGCTTGCTGGGGTGAAAAGCACATGTCTGTGTTTTAGATGGATTAGGGATCAGTTGGTTTTCCCTGTAGTAGGCAGTAAGAGCACCTAGAGCTTCGGAGAGCTTCTGTTCAACCATCTCAAAGCTCCCTGCTTGAGCAGTAATGGCACGATCATCAGCATAGATGAAACTCTCTGTCCCTTCTGGCAGTGGCTGGTCATTTGTGGAAATGTTGAACATGGATGGAGCAAGCACGCTCCCCTGAGGCAGGCCGTTCTTCTGTTTCCGCCATCTGCTTCTCTGGCCCTGGAACTCAACAAAGAAGCTCCTGTTTTGTAGCAGGTTTCCTATGAGGCGGGTGAGGTGGTCGTCCTTTGTGATATTATACATTTTTCTCAGGAGGAGGCGGTGGTTCACAGTATCATAGGCTGCTGACAGGTCTATGAAGACAGCTCCTGTGATCTGCTGCCTTTCAGAGCCATCTTCTATGTGCTGAGTCAGGTTCAGCACTTGCGATGTGCAGCTTTTGCCTTTCCTGAAGCCAGCTTGCTGTGGAATCAGACAGGGGTCTATTTTTTCCATAATTCTATGCAAAATAAGTCTCTCCAGAACTTTGTAGAGGTGGCACAACAGGGAGATTGGTCTGTAGCTTTTTGGATCATTACGGTCTTTGCCTGGCTTCAAGATGGCGATGACTCTTGCTTTCTTCCAGCAAATACCAAGGTATCAAAAGTATTTGGCCTGTTCAATTTTGTGGATACTGATTTGCCAAGATATGGGCTTCCACTTTGGGACAAAAAAGGAGAATTTTGGATTTGACAGTCTATTGCCAGTCTATTTATTTCACAGTAAAGCAATGAATTAGGCGTTTAAGGCCGATACTAGATAAGGACAATAGCAAAGCATCGTCTACATATAAGAGTAAAGGAACATGGGTAGAATGGAGCTTGGGACTATGACAAGTCAGCAAAGGTAAGGTTTACCTGCTCTGGCTTTGATTCCAACCAAACTGAAAAGTGCGCAAATCCCACCCACCTCTCCATAGGTTAATCCAGTCATTTTCAATGCAGAACACCATTTCCTACCATTATTTTTAAAGAATCAGCATGACAACAATATTGAAAACTAAGAATTCATAAGCTAGAGACCATTTTGCCTTCTACTCTAGCTTCCCTTAACCCCGTTGTGTGGGACTACATCTCCCATTATTCCCTGCCGACCTCTGCTCCCCTCCTCGTTGTTTCCTTACCTCTGAATGAAAGGGGCGCTCATCATCATCTGGTTCCCGTCGGCCACCAGGCAGGGCTGCCGAGAGACCACCTTGTCCTGGTCGTTGTTCCCGGCGGCTTTATTGGCCTCCATGGCTTTTAGGTTCTTTAACCTGCAGAGGAGGAACCGAACATCATAAACAGAGATTCAGTTTCGGATCGTGTTTGAGTGATAATTCCAAGAGAGCATCAAGGAAACTTAAATCTCTGGGATTCCGGAAAGTTTAGTCCCCAAAAAGAAACTTTCCCAGATCAGCCAATCAACGTCCCGGAGTTCCACTTTGAATCTCAAGGAGACCCGGGTGACACAATGGGTTAAACCCTTGTGCCAGCAGGACTGCTGACCGAAAAGTTGGTGGTTCGAATCCAGAGAGCAGGGTGAGCTCCCATCTGTCAGCTCTAGCTTCCCATGCAGGGACATGAGAGAAGCCTCCCACAAGGATGGTAAAACATCTGGGTGTCCCCTGGGCAACTCGTAGAGATGTTCAATGTATTGTCGAAGGCTTTCATGGCCGGAATCACTGGGTTGTTGTAGGTTTTCAGGCTATATGGCCATGTTCTAGAGGCATTCTCTCCTGACGTTTCGCCTGCATCTGTGGCAAGCATCCTCAGAGGTAGTGAGGTCTGTTGGAACTAGGAAAATGGGTTTATATATCTGTGGAATGACCAGGGTGGGACAAAGGACTCTTGTCTGCTGGAGCTAGGTGTGAATGTTTCAACTGACCACCTTGATTAGCATTTAATGACTTGGAAGTGCCTGGGGGGAATCTTTTGGGAAATCTGAACAATTGTTCAATTGGCCATGTTCTAGAGGCATTCTCTCCTGACGTTTCGCCTGCATCTATGGCAAGCATCCTCAGAGGTAGTGAGGTCTGTTGGAACTAGGAAAAAGGGTTTATATATCTGTGGAATGACCAGGGTGGGACAAAGGACTCTTGTCTGCTGGAGCTAGGTGTGAATGTTTCAACTGACCACCTTGATTAGCATATAATGGCCTTACAGTGCCTGGAGCAAACTTTTGTTGAGAGGTGATTAGATGTCCTTGTTTATTTCCTCCATGTGGACAATTTAACAGAAAGGAGGAAACCATGAAAATGAACAAAATCTGGCTACCAGTATTAAAAAAATTCTAAAATTACAACAGCACTACAACAGAGAGGAAACAAACAAGGACACCTAATCACCTCTCAACAAAAGTTTGCTCCAGGCACAGTCAGGCCATTGTATGCTAATCAAGGTGGTCAGTTGAAACATTCACACCTTGCTCCAGCAGACAAGAGTCCTTTGTCCCACCCTGGTCATTTCACAGATATATAAACCTTTTTTCCTAGTTCCAACAGACCTCACTATCTCCGAGGATGCTTGCCATAGATGTAGGCAAAACATCAGGAGAGAATGCCTCTAGACCATGGCCATATAGTCTGAAAAAACCTACAACAACCCTGACAATCAGTTATCACACCAGAAGTGACTTGCAGTTTCTCAAGTCACTCCTGACACGAAAAACAAACAAGCTTTGAGTCTCAGTTATGGGGAGTGGGGTGAGCTCCCATCTCTCAGCTCCAGCTCCCCCCCCCCCAATGCAGGGAAGCCTCCCACAAGGATGGTAAAACATCAAACATCCGGGCGTCTCCTGGGCAACGTCCTTGCAGACGGCCAATTCTCTCACACCAGAAGCGACTTGCAGTTTCTCAAGTCGCTCCTGACATGAAAAACAAACAAACTTTGAGTCTCAGTTATGGGGAGTGGGGTGAGCTCCTGTCTGTCAGCTCCAGCTCCCCATGCAGGGAAGCCTCCCACAAGGATGGTAAAACATCAAATATTCAGGCGCCCCCTGGGCAACGTCCTTGCAGATGGCTAATTCTCTCACACCAGAAGCAACTTGCAGTTTCTCAAGTCACTCCTGACACGAAAAACAAACTAACTTTGAGTCTCAGTTATGGGGAGTGGGGTGAGCCCCCATCTGTCAGCTCCAGCTCCCCATGCAGGGAAGCCTCACAAGGACGGTAAAACATCAAACATCTGGGTGTCTCCTGGGCAAAGTCTTTGCAGACAGCCAATTCTCTCACACCAGAAGCGACTTGCAGTTTCTCAAGTCACTCCTGACATGAAAAACAAACAAACTATGAGTCTCAGTTATTGGGAAATAATGAATTATAATAAGCCCTCCATATCTATGGATTCTGCATCCACGGAATCAACTGTCTACATCTTGAAAATATTCCAAGATGTTACTATTGAGATACAGAATGCCATGGAATATGGAATGAGCATCTATAGATTTCGGTATCAATAGAGTGTCCTGGATCAAACCCCAACAGATACCAGGAGACCATTATCATAATAATTAAGGATTATGGATCAAGGCCAAAATCTGAATCCGAGGAAACAGAGAAGCCATTCCTACATCAAGATGAAATATGGGTCTTATTCCTTGAAGGCCATCTAGACAAACCCATTTTACTATGAATAGCAGAAGGGAGTTGGATTAGGTAGCCTTCAGGGTCCCTTCTGATTCAAATGGACCGTGTTTCTATGAATTGGAGTCAGAAGGGACCTTGAAGACCATCTAGACCACCCCTTACTACCATGAATGGCAGATGGAAGCTGGACTAGATGGCCTTCAGAGTCCCTTCTGATTCTAATGGGCCGTGTTTCTATGAATTGGAGTCAGAAGGGACCTTGAAGAACATCTAGACCACCCCTTATTACCATGAATGGCAGACAGAAGCTGGACTAGATGGCTTTCTGGGTCCCTTCTGATTCTAATGGACTGTGTTTCTATAAATTGGAGTCAGAAGCGACACTGAAGAACATCTAGACCACCCCTTACCATGAATGGCAGAAGAAGCTGGACTAGATGGCTTTCTGGGTCCCTTCTGATTCTAATGGACCGTGTTTCTATGAATTGGAGTCAGAAGGGACCTTGAAGACTATCTAGACCACCTCTTGTTATCATGAATGGCAGTAGGAAGCTGGACTAGATGGCCTTCAGAGTCCCTTCTGATTCTAATGGACCGTGTTTCTATGAATTGGAGTCAGAAGGGACCTTGAAGACCATCTAGACCACCCCTTATTACCATGAATGGCTGATGGAAGCTGGACTAGATGGCTTTCTGGGTCCCTTCTGATTCTAATGGACCGTGTTTCTATGAATTGGAGTCAGAAGGGACCTTGAAGACCATCTAGACCACCCCTTACTACCATGAATGGCAGATGGAAGCTGGACTAGATGGCCTTCAGGGTCCCTTCTGATTCTAATGGACCGTGTTTCTATGAATTGGAGTCAGAAGGGACCTTGAAGACCATCTAGACCACCCCTTATTACCATGAATGGCTGATGGAAGCTGTACAACAACCCAGAATCCCATTTGGTTAGGTACTATATAGATGCTTTTGATGTTGTGTTTACGGAGAGACGTACTTGGCACAAGGGCAGACGAACAGGCCGCAGCATTTGCTCATATCGGTGAGGTTTTTCTCCGCTTCCTTCATGTCTTGGATAATCTGGTCCAAACCGTCCTCGATTCGGTCCAGCTGCTCTGAGAGATGGAAGGCACATCCATGAACAACCGTGGATCCCAAGATTATATTCCATATTCATTGGAAACTAGAGCAAAATGTGTTGCAGGATGTCCCAAAAACACAGATTTTTGCTGTGTAATAAACATTTCCCATGTTTTTATGATAGAACCAATTAGGAAATGACATTTATAACCCAAGAACAAACATTGTGTTACATAGTGTTATAGGACTTTCTTTCCCCACCCCAGAATGATGGTTTCAATGCATATTAATTGGCCACAAACCAGAACAAGGTGTTCTTACGCCAACTGCAAATTCGACCCGCAAGTCTCAGGACTTACCTCCTTGATCATCCAGCATCACTAGAGCCCGAATCCCAGCATCTTTGCTCTGTTCGAAAGAAAAAGTAGAGGAATAGTTGGAGCCCCATCTGGCGTTATTTCTGGGGTTGAAAAGATATCGCTACAGAGACCTAAGCAACCCTAAAAGTACAGAAAGGAGAATGCGGAAGAGTAGACCAAGTAAATGCAAAGATGGCTATGAATGAGGATAATTTCTGAGAGGTACAATGTGCCTTATGCAAAATGCTTGAGATCAGAAATGTTTCAGAAGTCAGATTTCCCAGTGACATCCATCCATCCATCCACTGACTTGGACTTGCTCAAATAGATTGTCTATCTATCTATCTATCTATCTATCTATCTATCTATCTATCCATCCATCCATCCATCCATCCATCCATCCATCCATCCATCCATTTATCATCTACCAACCTACTATCTAATCTATCCTGTCTATCTATCTATCCATCCATCCATCCATCCATCCATCCATCCATCCATCCATCCACTGAGACATCTATTTGTCCAGCCAGCCAGCCAGCCATCTATTAGGACATCTATCTATCTATCTATCTATCTATCTATCTATCTATCTATCTATCTATCTATCTACCTACCCATCCATCCATCTCCTGAGACGTCTATCCATCCATCCGCTGACACCTATCTCTCTCTCTCTCTCTCTCTCTCTCTCTCTCTATCTATCTATCTCTCTATCTCTCTATCCATCCATCTATCCATCCATCCATCTACTGAGACGTCTATCCATCCCTATCTATCTATCTATCTATCTATCTATCTATCTATCTATCCATCCATCCATCCATCCATCCACTGAGACATCTATCTATCTATCTACTTACCTAACTACCTACTTATCCATCCATCTAAGACATCTATCCATCCACTGACACCTATCTATCTATCCATCCATCCATCCATCCATCCATCTCCTGAGCATCCATCCACTGACGTCTGTCTATCTATCTATCTATCTATCTATCTATCTATCTATCTATCTATCTATCTATCTAGTCATCCATCTCCTGAGATGTCATGTCTGTCTGTCCGTCCATCCATCCATCCATCCATCCATCCACTGATATCTGTCTATCTATCTATTCATCCATCTACTGAGATGTCTGTCAGTCAGTCAGTCAGTCTATCTATCTATCTAATGTATGTATGTATGTATCCATCCATCTATCAATTCATTCATCCACCAATCTGCTAAGACAGCTATCTATCTGTCTGTCTGTCTATCTATCTATCTATCTATCTATCTATCTATCTATCTATCTATCTAGTCATCCATCTCCTGAGATGTCATGTCTGTCTGTCCGTCCATCCATCCATCCATCCACTGATATCTGTCTATCTATCTATCGTATCATAAGATACTCAAGTCTATCTATCTCTCTCTCCATCCATCCATCCATCCATCCATCCATCCATCCATCGTATCTATCTATCTATCTATCTATCTATCTATCTATCTATCTATCTATCTATCTATCCTAAATATGTATGTATGTATGTATGTATGTATGTATGTATGTATGTATGTATCCATCCATCTATCAATTCATTCATCCACCAATCTGCTAAGACAGCTATCTATCTATCTATCTATCTATCTATCTATCTATCTATCTATCTATCTATCTATCCATCTATCCATCTATCCATCTATCCATCTATCCATCTATCCATCTATCCATCTATCTATCCATTGAGCTATGGCAGTCAAAGTGGTGTCAAATTGCATCAGTTCGACCGTATAGGTGCCTGACCAGCCATTGAATCAAAAGGGCATCATCTCTGCATTCCATCTCTTGGTCACATGGTACCGTGACCACTAAATGAGAGCCAAGGCTAGTAAACGAAGCCACAGGACAGCACTGTGGGGAAGCTGCTGAATGCGTCCATTCATGCCCTTTTGTGTATTTTCTTACCTCATCCACCAGCTGCAGCATCCGCCGGGTGCTCTCCAAAGACTGCAGGAGAGAAGAGACAAATAACATGAATGCAGTACGAGTCATGAGCAAATCACCGGGGTTTGACACTTCTCCTGTCGGGTCACTGTTTAAGAGGATTATGGGAGTAGTCAAACAAAACCCAGGAGTCTTGGATAACCAGGATGGCTCCTTAACCCTAAATCGAGTTGATATCCAGATTTGATATCCAAAAATCAAATGGTGTGTTTTGGTTGCTGATCTTAATTATTAAGGAAACCATTAACTAAAGACGCAATAGTGTCAATAAGTAAGAAGTACCAATAAGTAGCGAGAAATTTAAAGCTAAGCCAGCTTTTCCTTCCAGTGCAGGAAGTCACCAACGAAAGACACAGGAAGTAGGAAGTGCCAATAAGTAAGAGAGTGCCAATAAGTAGGAAGAAATCTGAAGCCAAGGCAGCTTTTTCTTCCAGTGCAGGAAGCCACCAAGTAAAGACACAGGAGTGCCAAAAAGTAGGAAGTGCCAATATGTAGGAAGAAATCTGAGGCTAAGGTAGGTTTTCCTTCCAGTGTAGGAAGCCACCAGCTAAAGACACAGGAGTGCCAGGAAGTAGGATGTCCCAATAAGTAAGAAGTACCAACAAGTAGGAAGAAATCTGAGGCCAAGGAAGCTTTCTCTTCCAGTACAGGAAGCCACCAACTAAAGACACAGGACTGTCAAAAATTGGGAAGTGCCAATAAGTAAGAAGTGTGAATCTGTAGGAAGAAATCTGAAGCCAAGACAGCTTTTCCTTCCAGTGCAGGAAGCCACCAAGTAAAGACACAGGAGTCCCCAAAAATAGGAAGTGCCAATATGTAGGAAAAAATCTGAGACCAAGATACGTTTTCCTTTCAATGCAGAAAGCCACTAACTAAAGACACAGGAGTGCCAACAAGTAGGAAATGCCAATAAGTAAGAAGTACCCATAAGTAGGAAGAAATTTGAGACCAAGATAGGTTTTCCTTTCAATCCAGTAAGCCACTAACTAAAGACACAGGAGTGCCAACAAGTAGGAAGTGCCAATAAGTAAAAAATGCTAATATGTAGGAAGACATTTGAGACCAAGATATGTTTTCCTTTCGATCCAGTAAGCCACTAACTAAAGACACAGGAGTAACAAAAAGTAGGAAGCACCAATAAGTATGAAGCACTAATATGTAGGAAGACATTTGAGACCCAAATAGGTTTTCCTTTCAATGAAGAAAGCCACTAACTAAAGACACAGGAGTGCCAACAAATAGGAAGTGCCAATAAGTAAAAAATGCGAATATGTAGGAAGACATTTGAGACCAAGATATGTTTTTCTTTCAATGCAGAAAACCACTAACTAAAGACACAGGAGTGCCAACAAGTAGGAAGTGCCAATAAGTAAAAAATGCTAATATATAGGAAGACATTTGAGACCACGATACGTTTTTCTTTCAATACAGGAAACCACTAACTAAAGACACAGGAGTGCCAACAAGTAGGGAAAAGCCAATAAGTAAAAAGTGCCCATATGTACGAAGTAATTTGAGACCAAGGAAGCTTTTCCTTCTAGTACAATAAGTTACCAATTAAAGACACAGGAATGCCAAAAAGTAGGAAGTGCCAATAAGTATGAAGCACCAATATGTAGGAAGACATTTGAGACCAAGATACGTTTTCCTTTCGATGCAGAAAGCCACTAACTAAAGACACAAGAGTGCCAACAAGTAGGAAATGCCAATAAGTAGAAAGTGGCCATATGTAGAAAGTAATTTGAGGCCAAAATAGTCTATTCTTCCAGCACAGGAAGTCACCAACTGAAGACACAAGAGTGCCAAATATGTTTCAAGACTAGGCATTTGATTGGGCTCAATTGACAAGTTGGGCACTGCGTTGCTCTGGCAATGCCAGCAAGCACCGTTACCCACGCCATTGGTGTTCATAAAACCACCGTGAGAGTGTACCCGTGCTTTCCCTACCTCCACGTTGACCTGGTGGATGCGCTCTTCAAGGCCGCCCAACTCGGGTCCCGCCACGCCATTGACTGCCATGCTGGGATCCTACAGAGAAGAGGCTGCCCTTCTGTGAATGACTCCAACACTCCCGTGAGAAAAAGCCAGAGAGATCACTGCAAAGGGAAGAAACACATTTTATCAGATACTCATCCAGAGAGTCTGGGAAGTTATTGCTTAAAGGTGATTTGCTGCCATTATAGTTCCAAGGTCTAAAATGTCATTCTTCTGACAAAGCAATGCCTCGCTCATCAATGCCTCGCACATCAATGCCTCGCACATCAGATTCCAACAAGTCACGATCCTCGAGTACATCTACACTGTAGAATGAACGCAGTTTGGCCCCACTTGACCCAATACTATGGAATCCTGGGAGTTGTAGTTTCACAAAGCTGTGTGCCCTTTGTGTCAAAGAGTGTTAGTGCCTCAACAAACTACAACTCTCATCCTATTGTATTCCATTGTATTGAGTCATTGTACTAACCCAAATGGCAGTTAAAGTGGTGCCAAACTGAATTAATTCTGCAGTGTAATGCACCAATTATGGTCCTCGATCAAGCCAAGGGACAATAGGTCATAGCAAATTCTACCATCTTCTACGACTGCATCTCCATTGAGTTGAGACCTTGCCAAACTACAAATTCCCGGGCATTGAGCCATGGCAGTTAAAGTGGTGTCGCACTGGGTTAATTCTACATTGTAGAGAACCCTTTGTCCATAAAGACCAGAAATATATATTCTTCCTTAGTCAACCATGCCTTGGTTGTAGCCATTTGGTGACTCTTCTGAGTGATATTCCTACCAAAGGACCTGCCTTGGATGGATCTGCTCCAGCCCATTTCAATTGCAATACAATTCTTCAGCAGCCTGAAAACATATCATTATCCTGCTTGAAAAGTGCAGCTGTTTGCTCCTTTCGATCCATGAAATGCCTTCTCCTTCTCCTCCTCCTCCTCCTCCTCTCCTCCTCCTTTCCAGATCTTCCCTTGCGCCCACCTTCTTTTGCACATTAAAAATAGCCACCCGGGCATGTTTATTTTGTAATTGCAAAGAAAAGGAGGAGGTGGGGAAACAGAATTGATTTCCTCCATTGAGAGTTGAATGAGAAAGGAACCAGTGGGTAGTGTCACTGGGCAAGGAAGATGTGAAGGATCCTGAGACAAATGGGAACTCGAATTCTTTTTCGCAAAATGAAAGGGCAATAGAAGAAAAGGAGAAGAATATGCCTTTCCCAACAGACTCAGGCAAAAGCAAACAGCTGCAGCCCTACTTAGATCTATTTTGCCATCTTGACAACAGTCTGATGTTGTTTAATGTCCTGGGTTTTGTTCATAAAACCCAATGCTAGGGTCACCTTAAGTCAGAAACAATGTGAAGGCATCCAACAACAACAAATTCAATGCTTAGTGGCCTGTTTGGTGCATATGAAGCATAAATAGCTTCATGTTTGGACTTTAGTTCCATCACTAAGATATCCATCCATCCATCTACTGAGACATCTATCTACCCATCATCCATCCATCCATCCATCCATCCATCCACTGAGACATCTAGCTACCCATCCAACAATCCATCTATCTACTGAGACAGCTATCCATCTGTCTCCCTGTCCATCCATCCATCCATCCATCCATCCATCCATCTACTGAGACAGCTATCCATTCCTGTCTGTCTATTCACCCATCCATCTACTGAGATATCTATCTACCCATCCATCCATCCATCTACTGCGAAAGCTATCAATCTATCTCCCTGTCTGTCTATTCATCCATCCATCCATCCATCCATCTACTGAGACATCTATCTACCCATCCAACCATCCATCCAGCCATCCATTGAGACATCTAGCTACCCATCCAACAATCCATCCATCTACTGAAACAGCTATCCATCTGTCTCCCCATCTGTCTATTCATCCATCCATCCATCTACAGAGACATCTATCTATCTTCTAACATCCATCCATCCGTGCATCCATTTACTGAGGCATCTATCTACCCATCCATCCATCCATCCATCCATCCATCCATCCACCCATCCATCCACCCATCCATCCATCCATCCATCCATCTACTGAGACATCTATCTACCCATCCAACCATCCAGCCAGCCATCCATTGAGACATCTATTTATTTATTTATTTATTTATTTACTTCATTTGTTGACCGCCGCTCTCAGCCCTGGGGTGACTCGCGGCGGTGTACAACATGTAAAAACAGTCTACAAAAACATACAATATAACAACAACCGAATTACACATTAATCTAAATCACACTAATAGATCCGCGCCATCACAACATAGAATCATAGCCAATCTCATAATCCATAGTCCGTTCCAAATGTCATTACCAGATTCGTGTGGGTCTCAATTAAATGCCTTCTCGAATAGCCAGGTCTTTAGGCTCTTACGAAAAGCCATAAGGGAGGGCGCCTGTCTGATGTCAACAGGGAGGGTGTTCCACAGCCGGGGGGCCACCACTGAGAAGGCCCTCTCTCTCGTCCCCGCCAGACGTGCCTGTGAGGCGGGCGGGATCGAGAGAAGGGCCTCCCCAGATGATCTCAAGGTCCTCGTGGGCTCATAGGCCGAGATGCGGTCCGAAAGGTATTTTGGGCCGGAACCGTTTAGGGCTTTGTAGGCCAACCACCAGCACCTTGAATTGGGACCGGTAGCAAATCGGCAGCCAGTGGAGCTGGGACAACAAGGGCGTTGTGTGCTCCCTGCTACCCGCTCCAGTTAGTAACATGGCTGCCGCACGCTGAACCAGCTGAAGCTTCCGGGCCGTCTTCAAGGGCAGCCCCACGTAGGGAGCGTTGCAGTAGTCAAGGCGGGATGTGACCAGAGCGTGTACCACCGTGGCCAAGTCAGACTTCCCAAGATACGGGCGCAGCTGGCGCACGAGCCTAAGCTGTGCAAATGCTCCCCTGGTCACCCTGAAACCTGGGGATCCAGGCTCAAAGATGAATCCAGGGTCACACCCAAGCTGCGAACCTGCGCCTCCAAGGGGAGTGCGACCCCGTCCAGCACAGGCTGTAACCCTATACCCTGTTCGGCCTTGCGACTGACCAGGAGTACCTCTGTCTTGTCTGGATTTAATTTCAGTTTGTTCGCCCTCATCCAGACCATTACAGCAGCCAGGCACCGGTTCAGGACCTCGACGGACCCCTTAGTAGCAGGTGGAAAGGAGTGACAGAGTTGGACATCATCTGCGTACAGATGACACCGCACCCCGAAACTCCGGATGATCTCACCCAGCGGCTTCATGTAGATATTAAACAGCATGGGGGACAGTATAGAACCCTGTGGAACCCCACAGGTCAAAGGCTGTGGTGTTGAACAAGGAGGTGTCCTCCAGCATCACCATCTGGGTACAATCCTCCAGGAAGAGCTGAGCCATGCAGAGCAGTGCCCACAAGACCCATTCCAGAGAGCTGACCCAGAAGGATACCCTGGTCGACGGTATCGAAGGCCGCTGAGAGGTCCAGGAGCACCAACAGGGACACACTCCCCTGTCTAGCTCCCGGCGCAGATCATCCACTAAGGCGACCAAGACCGTCTCGGTACCATGTCCCGGTCTGAAACCAGACTGTGCCGGATCCAGAATATCCGTGTCTCTCAAGAATACCTGGAGTTGTGAGGCCACCACGCTTTCCATGACTTTGCCCAAAAAGGGGAGATTGGAAACAGGCCGAAAGTTGTCAAATTTAGTGGGGTCCAGTGATGGTTTCTTCAACAGCGGTTTTATAATGGCTTGTTTTAAGCACGCTGGAATCTTGCCTTCCCGAAGGGAGGCATTAACCACCACCGTTACCCACTCAGCCAATCCCCCTCTGGCCTCTTTCAGAAGCCAGGATGGGCAGGGGTCTAGGATGGACGTGGTAGGCCTCATTCCTCCAAGTATCTTGTCCACATCCTCGGGTTTCACAAACTGAAAAGAATCCAACAAAATAGGACAAGCAGGTGCTCGTGTCACATCCACAGAGACTGCATTTAACATGGTGTCCAGCTCAGAACGGATCAAAGCGACTTTGTCTGCAAAGAACCGAGCAAATGCTTCACAGCGCGTGACCGAATTGTCAGGGCTCCCGCCTGAAGTGGCGGGAGTTAAAAGACCTCTGACAATCCGAAACAACTCCGCCGGATGGTTCTTTGCAGACGCAATAGAAGCTGCAAAGAAGGTTTTCTTTGCGGCTTTTATTGCCGCGGCATATGCCCTTAGAAAGGACACAAACCGTGTTCGATTTGACTCGCTCAGCTCCAAACGCCACACGCTCTCTAGTTCCCTCTTCCTTCGCTTCATCACTGCCAGCTCCTCAGTGAACCAAGGGGCTGGTTTAGCTCGGCTACTTGAGAGGGGACGTTCCGGAGCGATCATGTCAATTGCCCTGGCCATCTCCCCATTCCAGAGAGACACAAAGCATCGACAGTCACCTACCGAGGAGGCGGGAAATCCCCAAGAGCCGTCAGGAATCCATTCGGATCCATAAGCCTCCTGGGGCGGACCATCTTAATGGGTCCTCCACCTTTGCAGAGGTTGGGGGGTGCAGTGAGCCTAAATCTGATCAGGAAGTGGTCAGTCCATGGCAACGGAGAGATAGACAACTCCTCCACACCGCCACCCTGCTCCCATCCCTGACAGAAAACCAAGTCCAATGTGTGTCCAGCACAGTGGGTGGGGCCAGATATTTGTTGGGACAGCCCCATGGTTGCCATGGCAGACATGAAGTCCTGAGCCGCTCCTGTGAGGGTCGCCTCGGCATGGAGATTGAAGTCTCCCAGCACAAGAAGCCGTTGAGACTCCACGCTAGCTCAGGTAGGGAGACTGTAGTGCAGCGAGGTGGACGGTACACTAACAGAATCCCTATTCTGTCCCGGTCACCCACCCTCAGGTGGACACATTCAAAATTTGTGGTCTGCGGGATGGGGCTCCTGGTCAGATGGATGGAATCTCTATAGACCACTGCAACCCCGCCTCCCCGTCCTCCGGATCTCAGTTGGTGCTGTACGGAGAAACCTGGAGGACATCTAGCTCCCCATCCAACAATCCATCCATCTACTGAAACAGCTATCCATCTGTCTCCCTGTCTGTTCATCCATCCATCCACCCATCTACAGAC